CATCTCCAGTTCTCCATCTTTACTGCCGGAATCCCCTGCCACCCCTTGGTTATGTGCAACCACTAACCATTTCTTCTGGTGTGCATGCGTCGAATCCTGCACCCGTTGCTTCTCCTCCTATTTCCCCCATTCCCATGGCCTCTTTACCCAGTTCTCCTAGTCCTTTCACTTCGCCATCATCTTTACCTAGTTCTCTAGTATCCAGTTCTCCGTCATCTGAGTCCAATTCCCCTCCGCCGCTGCCACCTCCTCCTCCTCCTCCTTCCCGTCCTCATTTAAGGGCACTCCATCCTAACCCCAAGTCCAAGAAGATCTTTGATTCCTCTGCTCATCTTGCCTCTGTTTCACTACTTTTGCCAGTTGTTCCTATATCTTTCACTCAAGCCAAGTCTATTCTTCAGTGGCAAAATGCCATGAAGGATGAAATCTCTGCTCTTCTAAAAAATAACACCTGGACCTTAGTCCCCCTTCTTCCTTCGGTAATGTTGTTGGAAATCGATGGCTTTATAAGATTAAGACTCATGCTGATGGTTCCATCGAGCGATATAAGGCTCGGTTGGTGGCTCGAAGTTTTACTCAGGTTTTTTGGGTTTGATTACAATGACACTTTTAGTCCGGTTGTTAAGCCGGTCATTGTTCGCTCAGTTTTAACAGTTGCCTTAGCTCGTGGATGGTCGATTTCTCAGCTTGATGTCAGTAATACCTTTCTTAATGGTGTTCTGAGTAAAACTATCTATATGGTTCAGCCTCAGGGTTTTGTTGATCCGTTGCACCCTTATTACGTGTGTAAGCTGCATAAGTTCTTATATGGGCTTAAGCAAGCTCCTCAGGCTTAGTACTCCCGGTTGGTTGTGTTTATGGTTACCTTGGGCTTTGTGGAGTCTCGTTGTGATCCTACCCTATTTGTGTATCGCCGTGGGTCTAGTTGTGTTTTTTGCTAATGTATGTGGATGACATTATTATTACGGGCAACACTTCTGGTTTGGTTCAAAATTTTATTTCTTGTTTTGCTTAGGAGTTTTTACTTCGTGATTTGGGTCCTTTGAGTTACTTTCTTGGTGTCGAGATTCATCACACTTCCCGGGGTTTGCTCTTCTCTCAGCGCAAGTATGTTAATGATTTACTACGGCTTGCCAATATGCATACTTGCAAGCCTATTTCCACTCCTATGCAGGCTGGTGTTGTGTTGTATTGTTTGGATAATACGTTGTTGTCTCCTGATGATGCGTCTACCAATCCCAGACTTTGTGGTAGTCTGCAGTATACCACTCTCACCCGACCGGATATCTGTTTTGTAGTTAATAAGTTTTTTCAGTTCATGCATCAGCCCCGCACTTTTGATTTTTAGGCTCTCAAACGGATCCTTCGCTATCTTCGTAGCATCGTTGATTACTGTTTGGTTCTGCATCCCACTGATTTGGGCACTCTTACTGCCTTTAGTGATGCTAACTGGACTGGTTGTCCAGATGATCATCGTTCTATTTCTAGTTTTCTCCTCTATTTGGGACCTAATCTCGGTTCCTAGGCATCTTGAAAGCAGTCCACTGTGGCTCGCTCGTCTACTAAGGCTAAGTTTCGTGCGATTGCTAATGTCTGTGTTGAGCTGCATTGAGTGTGTCATTTGTTATTTGAGTTAGGTGTTTCATTACGTCATTCTCCCTTTGTTTTGTGTGACAATAGTGTGCAGTTTTTCTTGCTGCTAATCCTGTGTTTCATGCTCGTACCAACATGTTGAGGTGGATTTTCACTTTGTTCGAGATGATGTCCGAAGGAAGTTTGTTTCGGTACACTCTGTGGCTGCTGTTGATCAAATTGCTGACATTCTGACTAAGCCCTAGCCTAAGGATTTATTCCTTCGTTTCAGGGACAAACTTTGGCTTCTCTCTTGTTCGTCGTTAGTTTGTGGGGGCAAATTGTAATATATGAATTTAATAGAATACCTTGTGTATAGAGTTTTGTTATTGTCTATATATAGCGTGTATATTGTATATCATAATATGATGAAATACAATCCTTTGTTATTCCAACTCTCATTCAATCTCATATCCGAAACAAATTAAAGGCGAATTGATTACAGGACAAAGGTATAAAAGTGGGAAAGAGTTTATGATGGGACGAATATATTTTTTACAACTCAATTAAATTTTAGTCAAGACTAAATATGAAAATAGTCACTTACATTAGACCAAATGAATTGGTCATGTACATTAATATTTTGCTAAGATGGTTCTCATATTTTTGTTTGTAAATTTGTTTGTCCTTTGTCATTATTCTATTAGTTCGACCATATTTGGGTTCATGTCAATGAGGTATTTTTGGAATGAAAAAATATTTATTTTCAAAAAAAAGTTAATATTAAATATAAAAATTTATAAAAAAATTAAAATTGTAAAAATAATAAAAATAAAGTAAAATTAATAAAACATAATTTTTATAAAAATTAATTTTTTTTAAAAAAAAATTCAGCCATTTTTTTAAAAATTAAGCCCATCATTGTGGAACTTTCATCCTATATATTATCAATCACAATAATACCCTAGACGCCCATTATTTAACCTTCCAAATCGGATCTCACCTTATTAATAAAATAATACAAACAAAATTAATAAAATATTCTTTTAAAAAATTAAAAATTTATGTACTTTTTTAAAAAAGGACTAATGTCTGAAATTGTAAACAACTTTGTTTAGTCTTTTTATATAATATGTTATTAAAAATAGTTCGAAATCTTGTGCACTTGTAAACAATTTCTGAATATAGTTTTTTTTAGAAAAACATAAATTTTTTTGAATTTTAAAAACAATATTTTATTAATTTTGTCATTTTGATTTTTTTATTAATTTAGTATTATTTTAATATTTACATTAGCACTTTTTTCGATACAACAAAACCTCCATAGTTTCACTCACATACATCAATAATCTCTATTATATAGTAAATTTTTTAGCCCCTACACTTGAATAAACTCAAGTTGATTTTTTCTTTTAGGAATAGACTAAAGTAAATATAATTCCCCCCAATTTCATATATTAAAATATTTCCAAAATAAAAAATTAGATTAGAATAAAATCTTAAATTTTAATTTAGTTATTTTTAATACTATAAATTTTCATAAAGGCAATATTTTCACTTTATCCCAAACTCACAAATTAAGAATAATATAGAATTTGCAAAGAGGATACAATTGTTTTTTTTTTCATTTTAGTTTAAAAAATATTTTTTAAAATATTTCATTAATTTAATATTTATTTTAATTTTTAATTATTTTATGAATATAATTATTTTGATATTTATATTAATATGTTATTCAATATTAATTTTTTTGAAAAATAAATATTTTTTATTATGAAAACACCCCTGTTCACTTGAATCCAAATACGGTCAAACTTGAATAATGCCAAAAGACCAAAAAAGTTACAAACACAAATATAGAGGACCATTTCAGTCAAACGTTAATATAGAGAACTAAAATGTGCATTTGGCCTAATGTAAATTATCATTTTCAGATTTTAATTTTAAATTTTGTTAAGATGTAACGGTTGGTATTGACAATCTCTACGATTGAATTGAGAAACAACATTGGCATAAAATAATCCATACGAACATAGAAATATAATAAATAACTAGATTTGAATAAAATGATAACAATATAACCTATTGATTTAAAGTGTATCGAGGCTCAACGGTCGGTGTTGACAATCCATACGTCTGTATTGATAAAAAAACAATTAGCTACTATCATACTTGCCAAGAAACAAGGTCTCAACCAATAATGATAACAATAGAATTTTTCAATTTAAAGTGTAACGACTAGTTTTGATAATCCGTACAACTATATTGAGAAACAATAGTTGGTATAAAACAATCAATAGATATAAATATAAATGATTTTGATCGATAATAACAAAAAAAGAATTCAATGATTTAAAATTTGTTGAAACGAAACAGTCAATATTGACAATCTGTATGATATCATTGAGAAGCAACAATTGGCATAAACAACTTGTACGATGTTGAGATACTGAGGGTTCGACCAATAATGACAACATTATAATATACTAATTCAAAACGTATTCAGGTAATAAATAACGGTCTGTATTGATAATCCATATAACTATACTGAGATTAACAAACAAAATTATTTCGATCATTAATTTTAACGAAATTAAAACACAATGATTTGAAATCCGTTATTCGTTGAGACAAAACAATTAATGTATACAAATAATATCATTGCTCTATTATGGGAAACAAAAATTTTGTTGCCTCCATTTTCTCAATTTCTCAAGATAGAAAAGTGCAATTTATCAGTGCATTTTTTTTTTTTTTGATACATTGATCATCCACTAATAAAATTTCCTCCAAAAAAAAGAAGAAGATAAAATTCGTACTATATTCCAATAAATAAATTCATCTATAAATTCCTAAAAATCTGGTTGGCCAAGTATGACGTGGACAACAAGCAGATAAATAAGTAGAAATAATTTCCTGGGTATAAGAGGCCGACGCTTTTCCCAGTCTTCCACAGAAGACAGAGACAGGGAGAACTCCAGTCCGAAGCCGACGATCCTCAATTCATCATCCAATCTTCGGTCATTCGTTCTCTTCCGCGTGTAATCCTCTCAATCCGGTGATTACCCAAATCTCTCTTTTCCCTTTAATTTGTTCGCTAAGTAGACGCACGTGAGCTGTTTATTTACTTTTTTCTTACGTAATTTCTTTTCTTTTCCCATGTGCATGTAATTTTGTGTTCGAGCTTGATTTATGGATGGCGTTTGCCTTTTTGTGTTGAGATTGTATTGGATCGATGTATTATCTTCCGTTGCTTGTCGGAAAATTTGCTGATTTTGGTGGATCTAGGGTTTTGGTTTATCAATCAATTTAGCTAGGTTTCCGTTGCTGGTTTTTCCATTTTGGATTGTGGATTCTGGTTGGTGATTGCTTATGGTCTGGGAATTGAATTTATTGTCGTTGGTCTTTGTTATCAGGTGAATAAGAAGATGTCAACGCCGGCGAGGAAGAGGTTGATGAGGGATTTCAAGAGGTTACAACAAGACCCTCCTGCCGGCATCAGTGGTGCTCCCTTTGATAATAACATTATGCTCTGGAACGCTGTAATTTTTGGGTGAGAACTTAAATTTTGATTTTTGAACATTTTTTCCAATGGGTTCTTTTTGTCATGTCAGTTGGTTCATTTAGATCATAGTACCTTTACTGGTGAATTTACTGACCTGTTCATTGTCTTATGCAGCCCTGATGACACTCCTTGGGACGGTGGTAAGCTTTTATTGTTCTTGGCAACGCTATTTTCATCTTCTTTTTTTTTTGGGGTGCATAACTTGATTCTCTACTATGTGTCAAGTATTTGCAAAGCCTACATTTTTTTTATTGCATCCTTCAATTAGGTGTATCCAGCTCACGTGTAGCTACGTTGCTGCTTTTTAGTGGTATAGTTCTGAAAAGAAGTTCTTTGCGGCGCATTATGTTAGGCACCTTTTACTATCTTGTGTATATTGTCACGAAGGCAAAGTTGCGTGACATCATCAAAGTTAACGTTAAGAGCTCCCTGGAGTTTTCTTGTTGAGTTCTTTGACTTTGAGCTCTCTAAAAGTTTACAAGTGCTTCATTATTTTTTGTAGTCTCTATGACTACAGCCACCGCATTCTTTATTTACTGATCTTATGATGTCCATTTTGTCAATGAAGTCTATTGTGCTAATCCTTTTGATTTATGTATAAAGGCTCTTACTTTTGTCGTTGTGGTTTAAACCATGCACTTGTTTCCTTCCAAGAGCTGGCGTGGTCATGTTGAGGAATGTGTTTCCACTATCCTAGATTTTTATTAGCCTCGGGTACCAATATACGTCTTTTGATTCTTTTTGTAACTACCATTATGGTATTCTCTAAAATATTTTTGTCCTTTTCTATTCTTGTGAAAAAGGATATAATTTATTTGGCTAGATATAGTAATCTTTTTATGTTGTACGTTGATCTTTTGTTTGCTAGCATTGATTTATTCTTACTGTCATGCACCGTGTACTCAATTCTACAGTTTTATCGTGTTACAGGTACGTTTAGGTTGACATTGCAATTTACTGAGGATTACCCAAATAAGCCTCCAACTGTGAGGTTTATTTCAAGAATGTTCCACCCAAATAGTAAGTGATCGCTTTACTTCACGTGCGCTCCATTACCATAATGAAAGATGTAAAATGTGTCTTAGTTATTATTTCCTACTGTCTTTGCATTTGAATGCATCAAAAGCGACACATTTGATTAAAAGTCGCAGACAACAAGCTTATATGTGGACAAAAGGTTTAATGTTGGCATCCTTGTCCTTTCTTTGGTTGATGGACAGTTTATGCTGATGGAAGTATCTGCTTAGATATTCTGCAAAATCAGTGGAGTCCAATCTATGATGTAGCAGCGATTCTGACTTCCATCCAGGTATGGTTAGTTTTAGTTAGATGATTTTGAATGTTTTCCTCTGCATCAAAAAATTTTAGCGGTTTGTAATGATTTGATTGGTTATTTAATGAGCTTTTTTTTTTTAAAAAAAATAATGCTGTTATTGTTGGTCTATGTTGATTATGTCCTGTTTGATTTTCTCCTTCATGTGGATTATAAACATATGATAAACCAACACACTGATTGTTGTGAAGAGACTGAAATAATTTAGGATTCTATTCTTAAGTGGTGGAACTCTATTTAAGAGGCTTCCCTTCCTACTTTATTAGCCATTTGCGAAGTGTGGGGTCAAGATGCTTTAGTTGTATACTTTTCTTTTGGATTTCTGAGTTCAGTATCTACTTTATTTTGACGGACGCTTTTCTGTCATTCTTTTATCAAGGGGTTACGGGGTTGTTTGTGGTTTACTTCGTGGCTACATTTAATAAGTTTATTTGTTGCTATCTTAAACAATTGTGGTTTATTTGCCGTACTGTTCAGAATATTTTTATGAAATGTAATGTGAGTCTAATGTTGTCTATTTTCTTCTTTCAAGAAAGCCATTATTCCTTGGGAGAATGACTTATCATGGTTCTGTCAATGACAATGTGCAATCTTAAATTTGCAGTCTCTGCTTTGTGACCCAAACCCTAATTCACCCGCCAACTCTGAAGCTGCACGGTTGTTTAGTGAGAATAAGCGTGACTACAACAGGAAGGTGCGTGAAATAGTGGAGCAGAGCTGGACAGCTGACTAAAGATTTCCTTGCCCGGCAAATTATGGAAGGGTATCAATACTGAGCTAAGTTTGATATAAAAAAATCCCTTTCTCCTGGTTGGGGGGTGGTCTTTGTTTTCTGTAGGAAGTGTTATCAGTTCATTAATAACTTATGTAGTTGAACAAGGGACTATTTATGTTATGTATTGGCTGGTTTGTAAGGGACTCCCAAGGTTTACTTGTCCAGATCAATTGTTAGTTTTATTTGAGTCTTGTGTACATAATGTCCTTTCTTGTATTTGTTGGGATTGTTATTGTATGATTTTTTCCCCTCTGGAGAACATGTTTTGATTTGCTGAAACAAAAAAAATGTTAGATAACGTCAGTGTCTTCCCAGTGTTACTGAGATTGGTTATTCTTTGCTGGTTCATTGTATGTTACTATCCACATATAGAAGGTCATCATCTACCAAGAAATATGTTTTTGAGTGGGCTTTGGCCCAAATTATGGCAAAATTTGATTGTAAGTTGTGTCGCTGTTTTCTGTAGCCTGCTTTTGTCGCATTGATACTTAATAATATCCTTGATGGATACATTTACCATTCATGTTTTGGGCGGGTAAGAAGTATCGTTTTAGTGAAATTTTTTGAACTTTGATCCCTCTAGACTTGCCATTTTATTTCGGGTTGGGGAACTGGGTTTGGGAAGGGGAAATTTAAGGGTGGTGAGTATTGTCACATTAAAGATACCTTGTTAGTAAAGAGTGGTGGACTATTGAAAAAGAATGTCTTTAGGCGTCAGATTTCAGAACACTTGGTAGGCCCTGAAATTTTTTAGTGATACAATTTTGTACGGGAGCATGATTCTCTACTGTTTCAAGCTATTATAACTACTGGGAAAAATAACAATGTAGCTAGACAGTTACTTGCTCATGGTGCACTTGTTCTAGGTGTAAGTTGAAACTTTACAGGGTGGGAACTGTCGGTGTGGTAGCTGGTCCAGATTCTACTGCTAGGCTCAGCCCTATCTGTTCTCAGTTGGCCATATGTATACGAATAATGACATTGTATTGGATGGAACATTTTGGTTTATCAACTATTACTATTAGCACAATGAGACACTGTATAAGAACCGCTCCTCCTGGTGCTGGTAAGTGGGATCTTATGGAGCGTACCATCCTGAACATTGATGACGAAGTTGGAGTTTAGAGTTCAATTTAATGTTTGTGAATATCTATAAGTTATACTCTTTCTATCCCAAAATCTAATTTAAATTTTCATTTCTAGTTCAAATTCAAACTGTATTAGTATTTAAGGTGTGGGAGGGAGAGGGGGGCCGCCGGGGGGAGGAGGGAACAAGATTGTGGAATGTATAAAAATACAATGGCTGCACTAGATATACAGAAATAGAGGTAGGAACCAACCTGTTAAGGTGAAAGATTAGCAAAGCAAAAGAATTGTGGTTGCGAGTGTTTTATCCGCGTGAATTAGTGGCGTCTTCTCCATGAAAGAGGTGTTTATGAGCAAAAATGGTGTTTTAGGGTTTTTTTCTTTTTCTTTTCTTTTGAGGCCGAGGATTGAGGTTTTGATAAGGCTGCTTTTCTCCAAATGTATCATCATTAGTTAGTAGTCGAGTTCCCTATTTTTATCCAACAACATTGCACATTTGCACTCATGTTTCCTTGAATTCAAGGAATTCTGACACAGTTTTGCAGGGGCACCCACCATTTCTTTGCTCTCAGACACTTGTATCACTGGGTCCACTCTTCGGACCGGAATCCGGATAGTGAATTAGGAAGCCTGGGCCTTGCTAAATGTAAAGAGGTGTAGCCCGTAAACCATCATGGGTTATCTCTTTCACATTTGATGGAATGGCGTGGGTCCTTTTTTTGGGCCATTGGTCTGGTGCACCTACCACCCTTCAGATGAACTGAAAAATATGTACACCGACAAAAATGAAGTCGCAGATTTTCTAGCAAAATTCGTTCACTTATTAGTAATTTAGGAATGCATATTTTGACGTCGTTTCTAATTCCGAGCAAAAAAAACAGTCAACAGACTAGGGTGAGATTATATGCCAAACTCACTCCAAATAAGTCCGATCCTTATTATAAGATATTTTGATTTTGTCTTAAGTTTCACCTAGAATGTGATTTTAATTAAAAAAAAAATTCTTAAATGGAGTATATTTTTACATTCACCGTGTTCTTCTCATTATTAGGATATGTTTTTTAAAGTTTTTATTTCAAATAAAAAAATATCCTAAATGAAATTTAGAACAAATTAAAATGTCTTACTGTATAATAAAGAGCGGAAGGAGTAATTAACAAGATCTTCCTTATATTGGGACAAAAATAAATTAATTAAAAAGATGCTGCCAAAGTATTTGGAACAATGGAATCGCCAACTCAACCTACATCAGCACTTAAAATAGAATTTTGACAGAGAGACTAACATCCACCATTGCCAGCCTGTCTCTTCTTTTCTCCCTCTCTCTCATTCGACCGTTCCTGAAAGCTTCTCTCTTAAACTCTTTACTACTACTACTTACTAAAAAAAAACCTTAATTATTCCATCAAATAGTTTATTCCGTTGTGTTAAAAATAACCTCGATAAGTGTCGGTCTAACCAACGATGGGATCAGTGGATAACTAACGTTCAAAATGCCTGTCTGGCTGCCTATTTTCCCACCTGCTAAAATTTGCTCAATTTCTTTCGGTGGTTAATGTGTCATTTCAATGGCATTAAACTAAGCAGTTGTTTCGTATCACACTTCTTGTTCTAAACAAATATCAATTATTATAAAACCTAGTAATGTGGCTAAGGTTCTGTTTGGTAATCATTTAATATAGTGACTTAATTTATTTAATTACTTAATGAAATTAAGTGTGTTTGATAATCGCTACTAAAAAGTCTTAATGAATTAAATTCTAAACTAATTAAGTACTTATAAATTAAATGCGTTTGATAGCTAAAATTTCACTGTCTGAATTAATTAAGTGCGTCTGAATGACCAGTTTAGTTATGAACCAGAAAATAAGTGATAGAGCTATCACTTATCACTTAATTTCTGTAAAGACTTTTTTTTTTCTTTTTTCATTTTTTCCTTTTTTCCCGCGTCTATATTTCGACGCTTATTTTTACATTTTTTTAAAATTTTTATTTTCTTAAGATGAATTAATTAAGAGTGCTTAAAGTTGAATTTATATTATGAGTATAAAAGATCTCAAATTAAACTAATTTTAATACATGAAATTTGCTAAATAACAAGTTATACATATATATATGTAATAATCTAAATTTAATTATATATTGATTATTTACCAAGTGTAATATCTATTTTCATTATATATACCAAAAATTTATTTTAAAATTATGATTCTATTATATAGAATAAAATATTAGTTATTTTTCTATTTAAAAGAATTTTGTTTATAATTCAATTTTAATGATATTAAAATTTTAAATAACTTTCAGACCTGAGTATTCAGATTCAGTGTTCAGACATCAAATTCAGACGTTTTTATCAAACAATGTAAATTTAGTCTTCAGACTTCAGATTTCACTGTTAAGTGTTAAGTGTTTAGATTCAGACTTTAGTGATTATCAAACGGAGCCTAATTCATAATCTGTCCATCGAAAAAATCATATTCCCTCCTGTCCCATAATTATCGTCTAATTTAAGTTTTCATTTCTAGTTCAAATTGTACTAAAAGTGAAATTTCAAAATGGACAATAATTTTGAGACAGAGTGAATACAATTTAAATTATCATTCTAGAACGCAAAGAGTAATAATTATAATTCTATTTATAATAGATTGTATTATAAAGTAAATTAATTTCATGTGACGAAGAGTGTATAAAATATCACCAAAAGACTAAACATGTCCTCCCCCCAAGTCGCAACTAATTCCTGGCGTAACAAGTAGGACTACTAATCAAGAAAATGTTTAACAATTTGTATGATATCATTAAGTCCAAAACAAACTAAAAGGCCATAATTACACTTCCTTAGCTTCAAAAGGAAAAGAATAATTACGCCTGTGCCTTTTTTTTTTGTTGGTTCGTGTGCTTTTCAATGGGTTTATCGTTATCCGCTGTCCGCATATACCAATACCGTATTTACTACTTACAATAATTTCATACCCATATACTGGTTACTTTTTTCAAAGAGAACCCTCACTTTGGAACTATTCAAAACACAACCCTGAAATTTTACAACCTTCTCCCGTCTCACCATTCATTCTTGTGATCGTCAAATAGTAATGCTGTGGTCATGACTCGTGACTCAATTTTGGTCTAACTTGAGAACAAAATAAAAATATTGTATACCAAAAAAAGATAATAATGCTATAACCTTGTAAGATAGCATGTGCAACTTCTGTTTAACATCTGTTTCAAAATTATTTTTCGATTCAGATTTTCATTTAGTTTAATTTATATAAAAAATAAAAATTTATATTGGATAATAATTTCGGGATAGAGAGATTAAAAATTTAAAATGCAATACAAACTTTTTTAAATAGAAAAATAGGAAGTCAAATATAATTTTTTAAATTATATTTGAAAATTGCAATACAAACTTTAAGAATTTGTAAATTACATTTTTTAAAAAATTTAAAACGCAATACAAACTTTTTTAAATTGCATTTCATTTACAAATTTGTAAATTGCATTTTTTAAAAAATATTTTGTAACCTTCAATAAATTCAGATCACATTCCGATGTGTATAAAGAAACTAAAATATGATACAAAAAAGAGATTTCAAATCCTTTCTTCCTAGTAAAATAAGAATAAATTTTAGTTTTATTTTGGTACGGAAAGAACACGAAACTTAAGGATTGAAATCGGGTTATGTTTCCAGAATGCGAGGAAGTAGTGAATTTCTAGAACTAGGAGGGTCAATCTAACAAAATGAAAAAGATAAATTTGTTTTTTGAATTTGGTGGTATTTACCAACTCTACGAAAAGCGACTGTACAGCGAGAAAAGCCAGCTATTCAATTCGGAATACAGAGAAGTAGATTCTAGTCTAATACACACACTCTGTACACTGTAGTATTCCAGAATTACACACACCACTCCTTCAAGTGTGTGTTTTAGTTTCTGTGAGAGAGGTGAAAAACTTGAAAGAGAAAGCGGTGGAGGGGTCCATTTCTCACGAGTGCAGGACGCTAGCAATTCATGGTATGGGCCTTCAAAATTTTTTTCCGTTTTCCTTTTTTCTTGTGTTTGTTTTTGATTTTTTTTTTTTCTCTTTCTTTTTGGGTGTTGTGAACTTTTGATTTTACTTCCATCTCAATCAATCTTTCACCTGAAATCTGCTTCCTTTGTTGCTACTCTGGCTGGCTACTTGAATGTAACTACTACTACCAGTTCTACAGTAGAGTAGTGGGTGTGGGAGTGTCATTTCTCTTCTCTCATAATTTGCATTCGGCCCAATTTTTTTATTGTTTAATTCAGGAATGCTAGTTTTGGGACATTGGGATTGCTAAACAATCCTCACAATCAAACAGGTACTGCTTAGATCTGAGCTACACGGTTTTGTTTCTGTGTTTGGAATTTCCGGAATATGCACGAGGGTAATGTGTGTGTTTTTGCTCAGAGTTGGTACAGATCTTTCTGAATTTTGGCTGATTCTTGGGTGAATTTTGGTGGGTTTTAGCTAGGTACCTCGTTTCTTTTCCTGGGCTGCAGTGGCGGTGTTAGTTTTTGAATGTGTGTTATCTTGCCGAGGGCTAATGCAGATCTTACTGAATTTTGCCTTTGACTATGGTTCTTAGCTTAGCTGAGTGACATTTATTATTATTTTTTTTTGGAGAACTACTTGTTGGGATGTTTCTCTTTCTGGAACTATAGTTTTTTTTCCTGAAACCATTTTCAAGATAAGATAACTTGGTCTAAGATCATAACCAGCACCACTGGTAATTGACTGTCGGTGATGCAAAGATGTTATCTTTTAAGCTTGTGGAAAGCATATGGATGATTTTTGTAGAAAGTTGTTCCATTATGAATTATCTATGAACAAATATGAGCTAGTGACCACAATTGTCATATACATTCACTGGCATCTGATTATTTTGCATGAAATTCTGATACTGATAATATACTCAGGTTTAATTGAGGTCTGATAGTCCCTTATACTGACCAACCAGCAATGGGGAAATCTCCTGGAAAATGGATCAAGACCGTACTTTTCGGGAAGAAATCATCCAAGTCCAATCTTTCAAAAGTAAGATAGCTTCTTCGCCGTGTTCTTGTCTGTACTATCATTTAAGACTGTCTCTTTTGCTTCATAAAATTTTAAGCCTTTGTAATACTACATTTGTGTTATTATTTCTTTTGAACTTTCGGGTGCATGGGACGTCCCAAATTGCAACCTCTCAGTTGCAATCTTTCTCCCATTGTTAGCCAGCAGAACCCCAAAGTTCCCCTCTCCCAACTTACACGTGCACGCCTTTCACTGTAGTTACCTGTAAGTCGTCAAATGTAGTTGATAGGACCATATGGCTTATATGTATGGATTTGCCAATGGTCACATCTTGCAATTGGGGATGCTTGAATGCTCCCATATGAGCTTGCCTAACTTGTTTTATTTTATTTTTTTTTGTAACTACGGCTTACTCTTTGTATTCATTATACAAATTCATCATAAGTATGCCAATCAATAGTCATTTTTTCTTTTGAATTATGATCCTTTCTGAAGGGTGCTAAAGTTGAGAAGAAGGCCAGTACTGAAGCAGTAACTGAGGAGTTTGTCGTCAGCCCTCCTGTGATCGCAGAAACATATCAGAGCGTTGATAGAGTGGGTAGTGAAGGGGAATCTGAAAAAGGTGTACCATGTGAAGTAGAAACTGCGGACCTGAATGTTGATTCGCTAGATGTCACCAGTTTAAATCTGACTGATAATGCAGAAAGGGAGAAACTTGAGCTGTCAATCACAAAAGCACAAGCTGCTTTTAGAGGCTACTTGGTAACATTTGATTGCTTCTCTTGCTACTATATTGTAGTGGTTTTTATATATTTTAGGTCCATTGGGTCTTACCTCTGGTTGACATTGAGTTGCATTTCCATTGCCCTCCCTGCGCTGGACAATAATTTTCCGGCTAGCTTCCTTAGATTCATAGATTATGCAACAGATGCATAGATTATGCAAATAGAGATCACTGCAATTTCTGCGCATTGGTTATCCTGGAACTAAAATATAAACTAACCTGGGCTTTGGAAAGTAAACCGTTCATTTAACATTATGACTACAATCACGACATGGTCTAGCTCAGAAAGTACTTACAAGTATTTCTTATAATCATGTGGTACTTGTTTTCTGGGTTGTTACAGTAGCTTGACATCGCAAGTTTTATTTTCAAACATTATTTTCTTTTCCAGAAATTGTATATCTAATGCACTTCTTTATCTTGCATCTGTTGCTGAAGGCTCGTCGGGCTTTCCGGGCTCTTAAGGGAATTATAAGACTGCAAGCTCTTATCCGGGGGCACTTGGTGAGACGACAAGCAGTAGCTACTTTGCGTTGTATGCAATCAATTGTGAAGCTTCAGGCACTGGCTCGTGGGCGAAAGGTGAGGCTTTCAAATTCTGAGTTTCAACTTCCCGAAAATTACAAGGTGCATGAAATTCAATAGATTTCTGTCAAATGTATATATAGATAAATGCATATACTCCCTTCTAGTGCACACGTTCAGAAAGATCACGTTCAGCTTGAATTGTTTGATAATCTTTTTGTAATCAAAACTCAAGAGTAAGGCTGCCTCTAGTATGTAACTTGGCTATTCTCTTGAATGATAGATTGATAGCTTTTTTATTATTTAGGGAAGTTCAGCTTTAGGAATTACTTTTGGTAGTCTGCAACTTGGTCTCTGGTATGTCATAGCTGTATTGGTGTAAGCACTTCTAATACATGAACGATTAGCGACAGCTGTGATTCTGTAGGAACCACGTTTGATTTTCTCTCCGCACATTATTTTTGAGATGCAAATCATCAGCATGGTCAAACCATGTGATATTAGCTTCATCTGTATCCGATTTCATGTTAAATTCTTTCATTTCTAATACAATATGATATCTGCAACAATTAGATTTATGCTCTGTATAACTATATGTATTTATAACTTTAATTTGCTGACTCAGGCTTCAACGAGTGTGAACATCCTTCACGTTAGTGCTTCGAGTTCAGAAAAGCTTGCAGCCAATGCCTTTACTAAAAAGGTAGAAATTCACTTTGTACCTCTCATCTTTCCAGTTTCAATGTTCTTAAAGTTTATTCTCATAACATTGCCTGTATGTCACTCGGAAAGAGTCCTTTGTCCAGAAAATTCTGGATTATCCATGTGATGAATGTTTGTGGAAAGGCCTAGAAACTAATGTACAGTAGGAATTGCATCTGAATATAATGAGTTTCAAACTATATTTGACTTGATAAACAAGACAGTTAATTCTTTTTGAAGTTGCTCAACGACATGCGACTTTGATGAAAACAAGAAATTGCATATTATTGCTGGCAAATTGGAAGTATTATTCGTGTTTATCCCACTTGAACTTTGGGCTCTCCGAAACACCATTTTCTGATAGGATTGCTTGTATAGTGTTTGTCATCTTCAGGCATGTGTTCGTATCAGCTAACTAGTACAAAGGACTACCTGCTAATTTTCTTTCTTTTAGGCCTCCAAGAAAGTCCAAATACGTGTCTCCAAATTTCTTATTGCTTCCTCAGAAACTAACGATCAATTAGATATCAACCTCTGATTTTATTTTATTTTATTTTTTTGCTGCTTAGCTTCTGGCTTCATTGCCAAATGCCATGCCTCTTAGCCTTCAGTATGACGTGGATGAACCTAATGCGGCTTGGAATTGGCTCGAAAGGTGGTCACTTCTTCGCTTTTGGGAACCTCTGGTGAAGCCCAAAAAGATTTCTGATGCCAAGGCCCAAGTTAAGCAAGCCAACAGACACAGCATCGAGGGAGAGCCGGGAAAATCAAGGAGAACTTTCAGAAAGGTTAATGCTGTATCTAATGGTGACCATAATAATGCAAGTTCCTTGGAAGCTGAAAAACCAAGACGTAATACACGAAAACCTGTCAATCATCAGGTTGAAGTCCAACCAGAACAGCCACAGAATGAATTAGAGAGGGTGAAGCGTAACTTGAGAAAAGTTTCTGCATCAACCCCTGTTCCTGAAAAAGGAGAAGCAGAACTTGAGAAGCCTCAGCAAAATGCTAGAAAATCCCCAAGTGCTACAAATTCTGATGCATCTGAATCAGTGATTGCTAAACCTCCTGAAAAGCCGATTGATGTGCCTGTTACAGTTGACAAAGTGGATGACACAGAAACATCGCAAGAGCCGTTGACAGTGGATGAACCCCTTCATGTTGCTTCTCCTGCTGTTGAGATACAGCCCCCTGAAAATGATGTGAAAGTTGAGATCAGTGCACCAGCTGATGAGGAGATAAGCTTGAAGGAAGATCAAAGTGGTAAGGAAAACCCAAAAACCCGTAGGAGGAAGTCATTACCCACAAAGCAGGAATATCCTGAAAATGTGTCGGAGAACACAGCAAGCTTGCCTAGTTATATGGCAGCAACTGCGTCTGCTAAAGCTAAACTTAGAGCACAAGGATCTCCTAAGTTAAGCGAAGATGGGGTAGAAAATGGTTTTGTGCGGCGTCATTCTCTTCCATCTTCAACCAACGGTAAGCTGAGCTCTCAGTCACCTAGGATGCAAAAGCCAGCACAAGCTAATGGGAAAGGAGGAAGCAAAAGTAACAAAACAGTGTCAGCCTCTAGAGATGGTAAGAGCATCAAGTTTTATATAACTGAAGTAGAAATATCATGTTGAAATGCAAATTCCCCTTCAAAATTTTTGCCTGAATCATGGGAATTATTCAAAAAATCTTCTTTCAGAAAAGTAGATGATTGCTTCAAAAGTTTGAAATGATGCTTTGCATTGTAAGATTCTTGCGCGTGTCGCAACTTTCTTGTTCCCTTTTGGGTTTATGTTTCAACTTGAGACACCACAATTCTATCATTCCTTTTGGTGCATTATTTTTTGCCATGAAGTTTAGTGCTTCTTTCACTTGCCTGGATGTATACATATTACTTATTGCACATGTCCCTTTCTATGCACTTCTATTTTATGTAATCCATTTTTCGCTTGCAATTCAGAGAGAGCGCTTCAACCGGGGTGGCGGCGATGAGATTTCCATTTTCCATAATTGGGAATTGGCGGTCGCACATTCCATATCAGGGAATTGTGAAGGAGTGGTGGTCCGATGTGTGGCACATTAGGCAAACTGCGACAGCCTTCAAACAGGAAGAAAGACTCACCAAAGAACAGTCATTCGACAAAATGCATATGTTCACATGTTTTGGTCTAGAGTGCTGGTGTTACGAAGGAATGTATAGTTGTAAACCCAAAAAATCTCTGGTCTAGAGTGGTGGTCGGTTGTGTTCTTTTTTCTTTTCTTTTTTTTGGTTCACATGATTTTGTTGTGTGATTTCAACATTCTTTTGGTTGGTGTTGTCTTTGTAAGAGTTATTATGTATGTTGAAATGTTTAACTTGTCACAGTTGTCCCATTAGTCAATTATATATGATTTGCAGCACTACTGAATCTGTGGATGAATGTCCGAACTTTTAAGCTGGAGGAGTTGACTTTACTTTTAACTGCTGATAGTTACAGAGGATCTCAACACCAACTTGTTAGTACCCCATTAGCAATACTTTTTGATGATAAAGAACGGGGAGAGCAATACTTTTTTCTTTTTTCTTTTTTTTTTTTCAATATTTTGGAGATATGTGAAGAGATCACGAAAATAAATGGCAACAGCTGACTTTACTTAAAAGTACGGTATTGTACTTGAATCAATCAAGAGGAGAAACAATCGTATGGGCGATTTGGTCAACGGGGGAATCTAGTCTAACGTCCACCGTTTTATTTGCGTTTAATTAATCAATAACTAATTTCCACTGTAATATAGATATTTTTTTTTTTCTTGCATATGGTATTTTTTTATTCTCGCAAGTAGGGGAATAAAAATTAATTATTGCCGCTTGAGACCATCTTCACTTTTTTTTCTTTGAAAATGCCAAATTAATCCAGCTTAATTGATACTCCCTCCGTCCCACAAAAATAGGACACATTGAGTTTTGAGTTCGTACTGTTTTTAGAACAAATTTGAAAACTCGATGTGGACTGTTTTTATAAGACAGAGGTAGTATAAATTAACGCAATCAATACTGTTTTCACAGAAAAAAAACAACTCATATGCTCCATCCATGGGTTGTTAGGTTCTATGAAAACCAAGTCCGTGTTTATGAAAAAACAATTCGTACCCTTTGATATCAGATAATGGCCATATATAAACGTGTAAATGCTTTTACAGAGAGAGATACGTGTAAAAGGACAAAAAAAAGATTTTGAAAACAAAAAAACATACAGAAAAATTTCGAAGTTGGATTCGTGAAAAGAGAAACGTAGATCAGGACTAATTTTTCACCCCAGAACAATTCATCATTTCTTACAAGTTGACGATCGATTGACGATCATGAAAGAGAAGACGAAGCGCTGCGAAATACAATCATTTCGTTAAAATAAGTACTCCCTCCGTCCCATAATTATTGTCCACTTTGTCCAAAAAATTTTGTCCCAAAATTATTGTCCAATTTGACTTTTTATGGATCAAGTTACATATTTGTCCTTAGTAAAAAACATTATCCATAAAATCTTAGTGGTTAAACAATTACTTATGTAGGGGTATATCCGGTTGTTTAAGGTAAAATATAGTTAAGTTTGACCAAAAATAAAATCTTTCATTTTAGTAAAATTGGACAATAATTATGGGACGGAGGGAGTATAATTTTTTAAATTGAATAACATACAATATCGCAAAAGATACAAATAGGAATGTGCATAGTTTGGCTTGGTGGGCAGGTAGAGAAGAATTGGCTAAAGTAATTATTATAGTATTTGATTTAAGAACGAATCAATCAAACCAAATGGTTATATTACTCAATCTTTTATTATTATTATTATTTTTTTTTTCACTTTGTCCGACGGATTCAAGGTTGACAAGATTGAAAAAAATAAAAAATAAAAATAAAAACCAGCCGTTCACACACATTAATTAACTGATGAAGGGGTAATTCGAAAATTATAAAAATCCAGTATGATTTTTTATTTTATTTTATTTTTTTATAAAAAAAGTCAGCCGAAATGGGCACAATTGATGATTTGATTCCAATGATAATAAATTCTAGTACTATTCATCAATATAATAAGTGATACGAATATGGTGCATTTAAGAGAAAAGGTCTTAGTCGTATCAAATTACCAATATTATTTCTGGTTATGATCAGCTTTTACTATTATTAAGCGTTTGGAGAAAGACTTACCAAAGATCCAAAGCTTAGTAGTGCCATCCCGTTGACCTCTCTTTAACAAAGGTTTAAAATCAGAACCACATTTGTTTCTTAATACCCTCATTATCCTCCCAAATTCGGAAAACCAACCAAATCCAAAATGTCCAAATTTTCATTTCCGTTTCTCTGTCTGATTATCGCCGTTTCAGTTTCCGGCGGATTTGTGAACGGAAATGAGAGTAAGGTCGAGATATATGAGCTCAAAAGAGGTGATTTCTCCTTCAAGGCCACCAACTACGGCGCCCGGATGGTATCCCTCATTCTTCCCGACAAGACTGGTGAGTTGCTCCGCTTGATTCATGTGCAAAGAATGTTTCTAGATTTTCTTTAAACGTTACGATTTATTTCAATAGGATTAGTGGTGATTTTCACGGTTTCTTTTTGCTCAACTTGTGTTTCAGGAAAGCTGGTTGACGTTGTTCTTGGCTTCGAGTCCGTTAAGGATTATCTAGTGAGTTTGCTTTTTTCTGAATTTCAATGCCACGGTACTTCATATATATTTTTTGTTTCCATGATCTTAGACGGGGTTAATTAGCCAGCTCTTCTATTTCTAGCCATAATACGACACCAAAGCGATGTCCTAATATAAGTCAAAAAAGCAGTTTTGTTTCTGGTTTGATGGATGATGAACTGATATTCTTGCATTAATTCCGTATACAATTATGATTTCTATTTCTTACTATTATCTCTTTACTGTTTTGATCCTCTTATGGCATCCAAAATGGTGATAAATAATTAGTTGTAAATAACCAGTTTATATTATATTATTTATCATTGTACTGAGTATGATAATATTATATAATGTAAGAATTCTTACACTGTGTAATATATTTTTTGGAGTTAAAATATAATTAATGTTAATTTAAGATGATACTAAAACTATTTCATTTATTATACTTTAACAGTGTAAATCAATGTAGTGAAAAGTTAAATAAAAATATAACATTACAAAATTTATGACATTATATATTCATAATATTGTAAACCATTGTAGATGCTCTTAAAATTATAAAAAAGAAAATAGGAATATGTGTTTAGAGTTTAGTCGTCATGGTCTTCAGCAGTCAAGAACCATCGTGAATACCGCCTTAATTTCTGCAAATTCCTTTAGAAAATTTGGTTAGTTTAATGGTGATATTCCATCTCAAAATGAGATGATTTTTGTCTTGAAGAAAAAGGAAAGAAAAGAGGCGACAAAAGAATGGGTTTGGGGAATAAAACAAAGACTTTTTAAAATGGTTGAAAATTTCAAGCTGCTACAAGTAGAAGTGACTACAGTAATTTCCTTCTATCTTGCTCTATAATTTTGGTCTTAATCTGCCATAGCTCTGTTTCTGTGTGTGTGTGTGTTCTATTGCCGACTGGGCTACGTGTAAGAAATGTGGTTATGTGAATGCATGATCTTTATTTTTTTTATGTTTGGGAGAAATCGCTTTCAGCAATTTGTTTCGATTGAACTGTAAACTAACAATATGACGCCATTATACCTGTTATTAATTACTCTCATAAATACTCCCTCCGTCCCATAATTGTTGTCCAGTTTGGATTTTTATTTTTAATTCAAATTGTATTAAAAGTGAAATCTCAAACTGAATAATAATTTTGGGACAGAGGGAGTACATGTGAAAACAATGTGAAATTGTTTATTAGTTGGCTATTTAGACTCATGAGTTACATGGAGGATCATGCATATTGATCCGATTTAAATTGGTACTTCCTCCCGTTCCCAATCTCGGTTTGTTCGAAAATATTTCAATAAAGAAAATCCTTATATTGAGACTTGGGATTTAGTGAACAATATATAAACCACTTATTTCTGGAAAATTATTAAAGAAGAAAAGGATATTGCTTTAGTCAGTCTCATACAGGGGAAAAGAAAACTTTGATTTTAACATTTGGGACTCTTTATCATATGAAATTCAAGTTATCAAATACCAATATATGTATACAATATTCTTTTAACAATTCGCATTGAAACTGAACGCAGAATGATACAAAAAATTTTGGAGCATTAGTTGGTCGGGTTGTGAACCGGATCAAGAATGCTGAGTTCACTCTAAACGGTGTCGTTTATCACCTCGACAAGAACAGTGGCAACAACTCCATTCATGGAGGAAAACTAGGATACAACAAAGTCAACTGGACGGTACAAGAATACGTGAAAGATGGTCCAAACCCTTTCATTGTGTTCGGTTACAACAGTTTTGATGGTGAAGGAGGTTTCCCTGGAAATCTTTCCGTAACAGTGACTTATGCTTTGCTTCATCATTACAAATTAAGCGTAATAATGAAGGCAAAAGCACTGAATAAAGCCACTCCAGTCAACCTCGCAACCCATACTTACTGGAACCTCGGCGGACAAAACAGTGGTAATATTCTCTCCGACGAGGTTCAAATCTTCGCCTCACGTTACACTCCGGCGGACAAGAACATCCCGACAGGGGAAATCGCGCCGGTGAAAGGAACACCGTACGATTTCCTGAAACCGCGACAAGTTGGTAGCCGGATACATGATCCTGCGCTTAATGCTACATCGGGATATGATATCAATTACGCGCTTGATGGCTATGATGCTAATAAAAAGAGCAAGGCTAAGAAGAAGATGTCATTGGCAGTGATTGTGAAGAAGAATAAGAAGACTGGAATTGGGATGAAGATATCAACCACAGCTCCTGGCATGCAATTTTACACGGCTAATTTCGTGAATAACATCACTGGAAAAGGTGGCTATGTTTATCAACCTTATTGTGGGTATGCTTTTGAAACTCAAGGTTTTCCTGATGCCGTCAATCACCCCAATTTTCCGTCCACGATTGTGAATCCAGGAGAGATTTATACCCAGTACATGCTCTACGAGTTCCAGGTTGCTAAGAAATATTGAGGTTTTTTCCATTTCGTTTTGTGCTATGTCAAAGAGTTATCCTGTCCACAAGAAGGTTGTAATTTGCCACATTGGTCGGTAATTCATTATGATAATTAATACGGTATGAATCCGACATTTTATGTTTTGTTTTCTATAGTACCTCTAAAATTTTCCAACCATTTTTTTCATGAGCAAAGTTTCACATACTCTATTTTGATATTGACAAAAATGTTCAAATAGTCCCTTACATTTGGGCTTACTTGATTTTATGTCCATAATATTAACATTTCAATATCGTAGTCCCAAACATTATATTTTCACACTTTTTTGGTCCCATTTCACTGTTTCGGCCACTTTTCCTCCAACTCGATGTTGACTGGTAGTTGACTTGCCGGAATCAGGGGTATTTTCGTCTTTTGACTTAATTTGAACTTTCATTGAAATTTAAATCATTAAAAATATCATAAAATTCACATTTAATTATTTAATTGCTAAAATACTATTCATTAATTTAAAATATTATTATAAAATTTAAAACTTACATTATTTTATAAAATTTCTTTTTCTATTTATCATTTATGCTGAATACAAAATAAATATTAATTACGTTCTATTTTTAACTCCATATCACTCAAAAATTTTACCGCACTATAGTAACTAATCAAAATTTAATTTTTTGTTTAAAAAGAAAAAGCAAACTAAATTTTTTTATTCGAATTTTCACCTACTAATTTTTTATTCGGTTGAAGTAAAAAATTCAGCGGGCCCAAAGGGAAGAAAATTGAGGGTCGAAAATCTGAATAAGAAATGGTTCATTTTAATTTATAGTTTGAATTGAAGATATAATTTAAATGTGATTTTAGTGAAAATTCAAAAAGTTGTTGGGATAGAAATTCAAATAAAATAATATTATTTATACACCACCACCTTCACATCTCCACCGACGCCGCCCACCGCCGGACCACCTCCTGCCACCGCCGGACCGGTCCAGGAGAGATTTCTCAGTACTTGATGTACGAATTCCAGGTAGCTAAGAAATATTGAGGTTAATATGTACTTGATACATGTTTTTCCATTTTGTTTTGTGATATGTCTAGAGTTTGTTAATTTAATGATCCTCCTCTCCCAAATAAGGTTGTAATTAAGTAACTAGACTGCTTGGCATTTCCTGATGATAATAAGGTATGACTCGACATTTTATGTTTGTTTATACCTCCAAAACCTTTACAATCTATTTCCAGTGCTAAGTTGAGAAAAGACTTGTTAATTATATATAATTGGCGAAGGGGTCATCCTACTAGTAATTGAGACCAACTAAATCAAGCCATCAACACAAAATTCAGACAGAATTAATTTTCGCTGTTGGTTCACACACACACACATATATATATATATATATATATAATATCGGAAAAAAGGTCTAATGAAGAAAAAGAAAAACATTATATACTAATAATTTCTTATGATTAGGTAATAAGTCAATGATCTGCTGTCTAAACGCCTTTTTGAACACATGGAGTACGTGATTTACAGTAAACAAGAAGTATGTGAACTTTGAAAATGTAAATTCAAAATAATGTTATTCTTATTCAAATTGTTGGGGGGTAGAAATTATATGTAGACTCCAATGTACTGTAATAATAACTCGTGCTGTTCCAAAAAAAATACAATATCCGTTTTAGAAAAATAGTTCACATTGAGTTTAGAGATTTGTATAGTTTTTAATATAAATTTTAAAATTCAATGTCGACTTTTTTGTTTTTGCGAGAGAGACAGAATAATAGATATTTAATTTTGAGTTTTGTATTAATTTTAGTACAAATTTGAAAAACTCATCGTGTACTATTTTTTCTGGGACTGAAAGAGTATTAGTACTGTCAAAGTAAAAAAAAACAAACAAAATGGAACGTGCCTCCATGTGGCTTTCCTCGAACGGCTTACTTCCTGGAACGTTGAAAGAGACACACAATGCGATCCCATTGACCATTTTGAGTTTGAATTCAAAGCGTCAAGATACCTTCAAGATATCCCAAACTCCCCACAAAAATGTCCAAATCATCGTTTCCGTTTCTCTGTCTGATTATCACTCTTTCAGTTACTGGTGGCATAGTCAACGGAAATGAAACTAAGGTTAACATCTATGAGCTTAAAAGAGGTGATTTCTCCTTCAAGGCCACCAACTATGGCGCCCGGATGGTATCCCTGATTCTCCCCGACAAAAATGGTGAGTTTTCAACTTGAATTTACAGTATTTTTCCAGATGTTTATTTAAACTTGAAAATGTAGATCGATGTTAATTTCATGGGGTTTTTATCTTTGCTCAACTCAATTTGTACAGGAAAGCCGGTGGATGTTGTTCTTGGCTTCGATTCCCTTAAGGCATATCTAGTGAGTTATTTGCTTTTCCTGAATTTCTAATGCATCATATTGTACACACTCGTATTATTTCTGTACAATATTTGTTTCCATTCTGGTTTGAAGCTAGCACTGACAACTTTGCTTTAGTTCGAATGTATTGATGTGTTGGAAATGTTATGTAACTTTTTTTTTTTTTACATGATGAACTGCTATTTTCTTTTTCTGTTTAAGGAAAATTTAAAAGAAAAGGCAAACTTTCTAAACTCAAATTTCTACGTTCCTAGGTCGACTGACCCTAATGCAATGTGATAAAGTCAAGGACCTGATCTATTACGTTAAATTCTTGTACAGTATCTTAAACCTTCTTCTCAGTAGACATTATATATATATTTTGATATCATATCTCTTGCTATTCAGTGAGGACTACTATATATGTATCAATTTAGCAAATCCCAATACACGGATTTTGAATTACTTTGTTCAATCTGACCTATTCGCAATTCACATTTCTAACTGTTTCCTTTGATCTAAGACAAATTGCAACTTTTGACTCCCATATTATATGAACAATTGTCGTAGTTTTTTTTTTTTTTTTTTCGCATTTCTTTTTCGATTCCTTGATTGAAAGGATCACTAATTCAGCATAAATGTTTCACCGCAGAATGATGCACAATATTTTGGACCTGTAAGTGGTCGGGTCGCCAACCGGATCAAGAATGCACAGTTCACTCTTAATGGCGTAGTTTACCACCTTGATAAAAACATTGGTAACAACTCCATTCACGGTATGTCCTTCCTCAACTGTTCACCACTGTCTTTTATCACTAACTTCTGCTTGTAATTATTTCTCGTACCAATTAGAATTTCAAATTCGTATTCCTCAGTAGCTACCTCCGTCCAAATTTGATTAGGATGGTCCTTTTAACATAAATTTATAAGAGGAATGGTTAAGTGTTATGCTTAAATTTTTAGAGTAACTTAATTATACAATCAGCTCCCATTGAATGACTATAAATTAATGAGTAAGGTTTGGAAAGTGAAAAGTATTATTCCTACTAATTACAAACAAAGTTATGTTATACATGGAAAAATCAAATAAATTTAGCCTATGTATACTATGGATGGATTTTAATCACATTTTGATGTCTAGAAAAAACAAGTGTTCATAGTAAATTAGGATGGAAAATGGAAATTAGACATAAAGACAATTGGAGGGATACAATAATACAAGAGAGAAAGAAAGTTAAGATGCCGCATTTTGATTAAAAGGTTTTCCTCCAGAATACATTAAGTAAAAAATATATCACTTTGATTAAAAGAAAAAATTTAACTACATACTTAAAAACAAGTTCCAATTAGAAATGCATATAAAAATCAGCTTATTATGTTGTGTGAGAGAGAAATTTTAATTATGTATTGCACTTAATTCAATATTTTATTGTAAAAAAAAATGACATTGTTTATAGTAAAGAAAAAATTGAATTTTGTAAATCTAAGAAAAAGATCAAAAAAAAAAAAACATTTTTCTTATAGTCAAATTCAATCAATCTAATATCAATCTCATTAAAAAAGTTAAAATTTCACAAATAAAATTACGAGAAAAATCTAAGTAAGGCATTATTCGTATATTCAAATCTAATTATTCTAATGTCAATTCCATTAAAAATGTTAAAATTTCACGGGTAAAATTTTAAAAAAAATTCAAGTAAAATATTTTTCTTATATTTAAATTCAAGAAAATTTAAATTATAATAATATTAATACCACTTATTTCCACCCAGTCTTTTTTCATCTAATTTTTTATTGTTGATTTATTCTTTGAATTCTATTTCAAAATCAATATTTAATCGAGCACTTGGTAATTTTTCACAATTAATAATATATTCTAATATATTCCGTCCAACGCACGGAAGAAATTCTAGTATGATTTTTGTTAACTTTGAAAATTTGATTAGATCTTGAAATCTATGCTTACAAAAATGCAGGCGGATTTAAGGGATTCAGCAAAGTTATTTGGACGGTACAAAAATACGTGAAAGATGGTCCAAATCCTTTTATAGTGTTCCATTACAACAGTTACGATGGTGAAGGAGGATACCCAGGAAGCCTTTCTGTCACAGCGACTTATACTCTGCTTCAGTCCTACAAATTAAGCTTAACAATGAGGGCAAAGGCATTAAACAAAGTCACACCCGTAAGTCTCACAACACACAGTTATTGGAATCTCGGAGGGCATAACAGTGGCAATATCCTCTCCGATGAGGTACAAATCTTCGCGACGCGTTACCTTCCGACAGATAACCAGATCATCCCGACAGGGAAAATTGCACCGGTCAGAGGCACCCCGTATGATTTCCTTAAATTCCGACAAGTCGGGAGCCGGATAGCTAACGTTAAACCTGGTTATGATACATATTACATATTTGACGCTTATAATGCTAAAAAGAAGAATGCTTTGATATTGGCTGCGATTGTGAAGAATAATAAGAAGACTGGAATTGGGATGAAGGTGTTCTCCTCTGCTCCCGGGATGCAATTTTACACTGCTAATTACGTGATTAACATCACGGGGAAAGGTGGATACGTTTATCAACCTCATTGCGCGTATACTTTTGAGGGTATGGGTTATCCTGATGCAGTAAATCGCCCATATTTTCCTTCAGTATTTATTAATCCAGGACAGGTTTATGCCCAAGATATGTTATACGAATTTCAAGTAAGCAAGAAATATTGAGGTTAATTTATCATACTCGACTCAATATACTTGTTTTTTCATTTTGTTTTTGCAAACTCTATCCGTTAGATTAATAATCCAGTTGATATTACATCCATATGTCACACGACTAAAGAGGCAGGTAGGTATGTAACATTGGCTGTTATTTCATGATACTCTATAATAAAATTATGATTCTATAGTTTTTTTTCGGATCTTAGTGCATTTGGCCTTTGATCAATTAGTGTGCAGCTGCAGATTATCCACACAAAGTCATTAATATACAGTTCGTTTGATTGGTCTACTCATAATTAAGAGAGCTAGCACAAGCGCGGAGAACGTCAATTCTGCCCCGTATGATATAAATTTCAAAAGAGCCTAGTGAATTAATGGGTATAAATTGATATGCTTTGAGTTACATTAGGTACAATAATGTTTAATATGATAAAACAAGAAAATGTGATTTGAATTAGTGATTGCCAAATGTATGCACATAATGAATTTAAAAGAATATGTTGTTTTGCTTTGATAAAGACAGCTCCCCCAAATCCCCTGAAATCAACCAAGTTAGTAGCAAATAGTATTTGTTACCTTCGAAAAACTAGAAAAATGAAAATTAGAGATTAAAAAGAGAGAGTCTTAACCCGGCGAAGAAAATATAAATCATTTACAAAATAAACAAGCACCCAGACTATTGTTGTTAGTATCGTACGATACGTATCGCACGATACGATACAAAAATAAAGAAATTTGATACGTATCGTGTGTGTATATCGTAATTGATAAAGTGCCCTACGATTCTCTTTTGTATCGGTTGATTCGATACGTATCTTACGATACGAACAACACACACGGTACACTGCTCCATTTTTAAATTCTTTCTATTTAATTCTATTTTTTCCGATTGATATTTTATTTCTTATTTGGATGGTTTTATTTGCCAAATTGAAAACTACTAATGCTATAACTCCCTCTCTTTGATGAACAAAATAAAAAAAAAAAAATTCTTAATCATCATATCCGAATAAATATAGTTATCTTTTCTTTAAAAAATTTGTAAATATAATATAAAGAGTATAAAAGGTCATGACTTTTCAACTGATTTAAAACAAATTAAAATAGCATCATTATATTAAAAGAAAAGTGCAATTATGACGCTTTTACTATTACTTTTCTTTATGTAGTAGACATGTCTTTGTATATTTATAATGATGTGTTAGTTCATATTTGTCCTATTATCAACATAATTTTGATTTTTTTTTTCTATTCCAATAGAATTTATATTAGTAATAATTGGTGGAAATTTTGGTCTTTTTTCCTATTTTTTGATAGTATTAATTGATGCACATTGATTCAAATGTATTTTCCAAACTGAGGATATGTCACCTTGGGATCAGAATAATACACTTATAATAAGAATTTAAAAAAAATTATAATGACTTAAATTAACTAAATTTTTAACCCCCCCAAAAAGAATTGGCAATTTAATAAGAAATATTTATATTTCGTGCAATATACAAATAAAAAATATGCTAATTAATTTAATTATTATATAAAATATATTTATTTTATTATATATTAAAATTATAATGTATCTTACGATACGAGACACGAGTCAAAAAATTAAAATTTCGATACACGATACGTATCTCGATTCGACAACTATGACCCAGACTGTTGACTAAGCAACCCTAAACAATTTTTACAAATTCATGAAATCAAAAACAGTCTTTAACATAAAAAACTCTTATTCCCACACATACATTACAAATGAAGTCCAAAAAGGAGGTAAAATACCTCCGAACGTCCAACCACATTGATGATTCCTCCAATTAAAGGATTAAAAAAAAAACGAAAAATCACACTGTTCTTAGCAATAAATGAGGTCGCACCGTCACTGTTAGTTCCGTTGCCGTTGCCTCTAATATTCCATCATTTCCGCAATTCCATATCGAACAGATCCATGATAAGAAAGGGTAAAAGGAAGTTCGAAGGAGGAGAAAGAAATGAGACCGACAAGAGTAAATATCACTCAAAGATTTGGATACTCTTCATTTTTTCCTTAGCATCCTCATACCTCGAATGTCCTATTTTCTCAACATTAGTGTATTCTCGATCTTCTTCACCAGACTGTTTTTGGTCCTCTTAAAGTTATATTAAAAAAAAAATAGTGATGTATATTTAGTAGATCATGTCATGGTCTTGAGCAGCAAGAACCCTCGTGAAGACCGCCTTAATTTGTACAAGTTCCTTTAGAAAATTTGGTTAGTTTAATGGTTCCATCTCAAAATAAGATTATTTTTATCTAAAAAAGAAAAGGAAAGAAAAGAGGCTACGAAAGAATGGGTTTGGGGAATAGAACAAAGACTTTTTAAAATGGCCAAAAATTCAAGGGACTTTTTAGAATGAGACTTTATTATTATTATTATTATTCCTTCTGTCTTGCTCTATAATTTTGGTCTTAATTTGCCATAGCTCTAAATCCGGCAAAAGTTGGCCGGTCGTTAGTAGGCGGCGGTCTGGCAGGGGCAGGGGAGGTCCGGCGGCGAGAGGCAGTGGTGATGGTGAATGAAAATTGGATAAAAATAATGTTTGAATTTTTTTTTAAAAAATGTAAAATAAAATTTTATATAAATAATATTTTATTTTAGATCAGATTTTATATTTAATAGGAAAAATGATACAAAAAGCAAAATGCACTTACTGTCTCAACGATATTTTGGACACTAGCAAATATTATCACTTCACTAATTTATCATCCCCTAAATCCACGGTAACAGGTTGCTTGATATACATAGTCTAATGTCAACGGCTGTTACATTTTTTTTTTTTTTTTTTTATATTTGTAGGGTGTCCACCGTCGGCAATAGTGACTAATCTCCTTGCTGAATTGTAGACACCTCAATGAGTGGAACAACTGACCAAAATATTTAAGATTAGTCCATGCCCATAGCGAGGTTCAAACCCTCGACCATGACAGCCTATAACGGCTGTTACATTTCTGATTGAGTCATCAAATATATGGATTCCACGGTGTATATATGTGTATAGAGTAGATGATTTTAAAAAAAATTTTATTGGTAAAATGGTAAATGATAATTCATTTATTCTCTCAAGTCTCAAGAGTGAGGTTTCTTTCTTTCTTTCTTTTTTCCCCTAAAATTAGAGAAGGATATGTAAGCCGTAAGCGGCGACTTGATTAGCTTCAGGACGATCTAGATGGCAAATGTCAATTAATTAATCCGGCCCTTAAAGTACACGTTGCTGGTATTTGACTTAGCAATACATAAGACAGTTTATTGAATTGTCCTCAGAGAATACTAATTAATTAATTAAGACAACTCATTTATTCCATCTTAGAGATAGAAAAAGAAGTCGATGACATCCGTGTCAATATAACGAAATTTTTATCTAGTAGTACAATGTATTATGACGGAAGGAGTACAAGTTTGTTTGATTTACGTTACACCGAAATGATCTAGCAAAAAAAAAAATGCAGTAGTCGTAACGTTTAGGGAAAAAAAAAGAAGAAGAAGAAAAAAAAAAACTGGAGTGAGTTTGTGAAATCTTTCGATGGACTTTTCTAAATATTGTAAAAATCAATTTAGTGAATGGTCAAATGTGGAGTATTAAAGATGAGATCAAGTCAGTCCACTCTTATCTTAACAAGCCAAACAGTACAGACGGCCAGTCCAGACTAATTGTTGATTAAATAATTGAGAAAAGACTTTTTGAGTTTTTGTTAATCAAATGGTAGTAATTAAATTGAGATAAGTAACATTTAAAACAGTACTAGGAATTATTAATCCAAGCACACAAAATCAGTAGTGGAGAGACAGAATTAATTTTCACTGTCCGCATATGGAAAAAAAAAATGCTAATTAATTTGTTATGATTAGATAAGAAGTCTGCAGTCTTAACGCGTTTTGAACGCATGGATTCATTAAAAAATGCCATGATTTATAAACAAGACGTACTGTATGTGATTCTTAATTCAAAATTTTGGGGGAGAAATCATAGAGTAGAATGTTAATAAAATACGTCAAAAGTAGAAAACAAAATGGGCCTCGAGACAATGACATAAATATTTACTTGGAACGTTCCTCCATGTGGCTTCCCTTGAACAGCTTACTTCCTGGAACGTTGAAAGAGACATACAGTGCGATCCCGTTGACCATTTCGAGTTTAAATTCAGAACACTTCCAAAGAAAAATCCCAATTCTGAAATAATACCAACCCAACACAAAAAAAAAATGTCCAAATTATTGTTCCTGTTTCTTTGTCTGATTATCATCGCTGTTTCAGTTTCCGTTGGCGTTGTCAACGGAACTGAAACTAATGTGGAGATCTATGAGCTCAAAAGGGGTGATTTCTCCTTTAAGGCCACCAACTATGGTGCTCGGGTGGTTTCCCTCGTTCTCCCCGACAAAACTGGTGAGTTTCCCCACTTGAATTTTATTGTATTTTTCAGTTGTTTTATTTAAACTTGAAAAATGTTAATTTCCATGGTTTTTTCCTCAACTCATCTTCAACAGGAAAGCCGGTGGATGTTGTGCTTGGCTTGGATTCCGTTAAGGCTTATCTAGTGAGTTTTCTTTCTGAATTCCAAATGCACTAGTATTTTGTACAACCTCGTATTTTGTTACAGTTCTGGTTTTCAAGCTACCTAGCACCGACAGTTTTGCCGTGGTTCAGTTTGAATGGATTCATGTGTTGGAAATGTTAGAGTTATGCTAATTTTTTCTAAAAAAGGATAAATACCTAATGATAATCCAACTTTTTCCTTAAAAAAGATCTAATGAGGCTAAATCTTGAAGTCAGATTACTATGTGTATGCTAATCTTAATACATCGTGATCAAGCCAATGTCCCGATCCATCATGTTAAATTCTTATACCAAATCTTAAGATCTTCTTTTCAATACATATTGATATATATATATATATATATATATATATATATATATATCAGGTCATGCCCTCTGCTAGACTTGGCACATCAGCTATGTATAGGATACTTTCATATGATTATTAGTCCTCCTATATATCTATAGATCATTTCTTGCTCTACTAAAGATGCTTTATTTGTTGCATTTCTTTCCCAATAAGGACTATATCTGCTAGCACAAACAATTTCTCAATTAAATTGTTGAATTGGGCGTAATTAATGCGAAATGTGCAATCGTTTGGTTCCCATATCATACGAACAATAGTAGTCGTAGTGTTTCTTTTCCCGCATTTCTTTTTTTGATTCCTTAATTGTTCGAAAGGATCACTAATTCTGTATGCTCTTTCAAATGTGTCGCCACAGAATGATTCAAAAAATTTTGGATCTCTAAGTGGTCGGGTTGCCAACAGGATCAAGGGTGCTCAGTTCACTCTTAATGGCGTTGTTTACCACCTTGATAAGAACAGTAATGGTAACAACTCCATTCACGGTACGTGCTTCCTCATTGATTTGTTCACCTATTTTTTTTTTCACCCCTTCTAACTTCTGTTAGAAATTTCTTCTTCGTACTAATTACTTATACTACAATTTCGAAGTCGTATTCTTTCCTTAAATAACAAGTCTTATTTGTTGTACTCCCTCCAGTCCTTATTATAAGGCATTTTGACTTTTCATAGGTTTCACCTGGTATACATTTTTAATTGATAAAAAAATTTTAAAAATATTTCATAACAATCAAGAGAACATAAAAAATGTGAAAATATATGTTTAAAGTTTTTTGTCAATAAAAAATACATATTAGGTGAAACCTAAGACAAATCAAAATGTCTTATATTAAGTACCGGAGGGAGTAATATTTATTTCAGAAAATAGAACTCTTGACGATTAGATTGAATCTAAAAATGCTCTCTGGTTACAAAAATACAGGTGGATTTTTAGGATTCAACAAAGTCAATTGGACGGTACAAGAATACGTGAAAGATGGCCCAAAGCCTTACATAGTTTTCCACTACAACAGTTACGATGGCGAGGGAGGATACCCAGGAAACCTTTCTGTAACAGTCACTTATGCTTTGCTTCAGCCTTACAAATTATTGTTAACAATGAGGGCAAAAGCATTGAACAAAGCCACACCCGTAAGTCTCACAACACACAGTTACTGGAATCTCGGCGGACACAACAGCGGCAATATCCTGTCCGAAGAGCTCGAAATCTTTGCCTCACGTTACCTTCCGACAGACAAACAGCTCATCCCAACAGGGGAAATCGCGCCCGTGAAAGGCACACCGTTTGATTTCCTTAAATTCCGACAAATCGGAAGCCGGATAGCTGAGATCAATGTCACAAATGGGTACGATACGTATTACATATTTGATAAGTATAATCCTAAAAAGAAGAATGCGCTTTTTTTGGCTGCGACTGTGAAGAACAATAAGAAGACTGGAATTGGGATGAATGTGTTCTCCAATGCGCCTGGGATGCAATTTTACACTGCTAATTCCGTGAGTAACATCACGGGAAAAGGTGGATACGTTTATCAACCTTATTGTGGGTATACTTTTGAGGGTATGGGTTACCCTGATGCAGTGAATCGACCATATTTCCCTTCGGTAATCATTAATCCAGGGGAGGTTTATGTCCAAGACATGCTTTACGACCTTCAAGTAAAGAAATATTGAGGTTGTTTACACTCAACTCAATACATTTTTTTTTTTTTTGTTTCATTTTGTTTTGTGCTCTATGCCACACTTAAATAATCCAGTTGATACTACATACATGTCACACGGCCAAAGTGTAGCAACATTGGCAGTTATTTTCATTGATACAATAAAATTATGATTCTGCAAAATATTTTGTTTCTCTTTCTAGATCTTGATGTATTTAACCTTAACCAATTTAGTAGGCAACTTGAGTTACTATCAACACAAAGTCGTTAATATACAGCTTGTTTGATTGGTCCACGCACAATTAATTTCCCGAAACAATTATTATAGCCTCTAAAATAGTTTCATTTTATTATTTTGAAGAGATAAAAGAAATAATATAAATTAAAAATTTGGCGTCAGCTGATTCGTTGAATGCTGACTTTTATTCGCGAATCAATCAAGAGGATTATAGTCTAATGTCATCGGCTAATAATTATGAGGTTTTTAGTGGCTTTTGACATTTATTAGTTTAAACTCTACCTAAGAAAAAAAAGGAAAAAATGTAGTTCAAACTTTAAAGATGACAGATATTTTTATTTATTCTCACAACTTGTTTAGCTTCAAGACGATTGTCCTTTTTCTCTCCCTTCTTTTTTGTTGTTGGGGCAACTTCAAGACGATTTTGATGCCAATGCCAATTGATCCGGCTGAGAAAGTTGGAAATAAAAATGATTAATAAGACAAGCAACTTATTTCTTTCTTTATTTATTTTTCCCTCGGAGAATGAAACAACTCAAACATTTGTTGTAATGTTGTTAAAAATGAAAACCATGATGTGTATCGAATGCATCAAAGATGAATTGCCTTGACATTGTCAAATGTTCAAGAGACAAAAGTATAATAAGGAAATTAGAAGTTTGTAACTTGTATAGTAAAACGAAAAATAAATATGAAGAAAAGAGAAAAAAAAATACTCAAATGTATTCAATTTGATTCATGTCTTCTTTATGCTCAACTTTTTGAAGAATTAGTGCTTGTTTGGACAATGTTTTATTTTTGTTTTTGATTTTGTTTGTGTTTTAGATCTGAAAAGTCATTCAAAAGATCTTCTGAAATCAAGTTGAAATAGTAGTCTAAGTAACCTTTTTAAAACAATTGTATGTTTGGATGGTATTTTATGAAGAGTCAAGTATGAAAAATCATCACTAAACTAAGAAATTGTCCCCATTGTGGTCAGTACAACATATTCTTTTGGAAGAAATGGTCACTACATAATGACCATTGCAGATGTACATGTCGATGAAAACTATTAACTGTTGGTATTTTTGGTCACTTAACAATAACATTCAGAAATGGTCACTACAGTTGTGACTATTTGCAACCCTCCCATATGTGGATGCCATTTTGAAAAGAAATCACTAAACATTAAAATGTCGATTTTGGTCACTACAAACGTCTTATTTGGCATAAATGGTCACTATACCATTGATATCCTAGAAGTAAATTTCGACCTTAACTAACCGTGTATTTTTGGTCACTGAACAATAACATGCAAAACTGGTCACTACACTATTGAATATTGCAATCCTCCCAGATGTGGCTGACAGTTTGAGAACGTGATATTTTTCTGTTATGAGCATAACTTTTCTTGTCCTATTTATAATATATGTATCATATGCAACTTCCCTTCCATTAGTAATGTCTGGATGAGGACTGTTGCTCAGCAATGTTACTCATACTTTGCTACTTGATTATTGCCACATTATTCTTCTACTAGACACACATATTAGTATCGAATACTGGTAATCGATTTCACTACATTTTTTGAGGCGAAATACCTTTTTCATCAATTGACCATCGTACACAAGTCACCAGCATTCGTGGTGACAAAATGCCGAATATGCCATTCTTAGTTTAACTACACTACCATTTTCATAACAGTACCATACTAGATAAACCGTACCAAGGGCATAACATTACCACACTAGGAAACAACGCGTAACAGTACCATATATATATAGTAACATACATTTAACAATATGGTCTATTCCCCATTGTGACTTATGTTGTCCATGCTACCTTGATATCTACCCAAACAGTTCAGGTGTACAGCTGACCCGAACAGTCAATGACCCTTGAGCTTGATTCTTAGCTTCCTTCCAGCTATCAATGATGTTTTATTATTAACATCATTTGCCCGTCCATTAGCTTCTGAATCCACCACATCCCCGTTGGGTGCTGCAGGAACCTCCTGTGACATTATATTGGCTACAATTAAACAAAACACCTTTAAAGTTGACAAAACAATATCGACACACACTTCGGCAAAAGGTTGTACCTACGTACGTGTTGTGTATGACATATTGCACTTTTGGTCTACAATTTAAATTACAAACTTATATGGACAGTGGTGGTATATAAAGTCATATAATTGCACCCACTTGAGACTGTTTTATGTGGAATACGTCATGCCAACCATGATCATCAACATATTTAATTAGAACCAAATGTGGAATATAAGAACGAACATATAATGACATCCAGAAGCTGTAAGCAGTCCAGTTTTTGTTGAAATAAACACCTGCATATCTAATTTGTTGCTTCAATTGAACCACCACAAATATCGGCATCAGAAATCGGGACCTCAGATGGTGGCTTCGATGTCGTACGAGAAATGCTTCCTTTGTTTGGAGGGTTAGGTTCAGGTTGTCTTGTTCTACTGCACTATGTTTCTGGTCATGATAAACATAACTCATATTATGAACTGTTGGTTACACAAACCAACAAATAAGTTCCAGTCATATTTTCCATAAAAACGACCTTCATACTTGGTTTCTTGCTTCAGGGGAACGCCCAGCCATTTTGGTAGCTTTAATCGGTTCATCCGATGATGCATCAGCAGCCGTAGTACCATTTCTTTTTTGTTTACGAAATGCACTATTCAGCCTCGAGTGTTGTGCAGCATTCTCATCCTATTCAATGCACATCAAAAATCATATTAACATTTAACAAACCCAACCAAAATTTAAACAAGTTGGTATGCAACTACACTTATTACTACAAATTTAATAAGTGTAAGTTTTCCAGAATTACACACCTGCACTTGATCTGTTCATCTTCTGATATTGTGATCATCCCCTCGACATATACAATGCATCTTTACACGTCTACTCATCCTCTCTGTTCCATCTTCATACAACCTGTTTTCGTCATCCGGTGCTCTTTTTTTGCTTGTCTTTTGCGTTTGTTTTCCGATTTTCCATTCAAAGCTTCCTGGCTATGCCTCTCGCCTTGTATGCCTTTGAAAATGAGACTTTGATGTTGAAATCGTCTTCAACCCACTTCTAAATGGCTGCAATCGGTATGTCCGAATCAGTTCTAATTTTTTTCCCTGTATGTAGTTGCCAACCATCTTGCAGTCACCTTCTTGTTTGTGTTCTCCGGGGTGCAATCTGTGTGAATATCTCTAATAGAATGCATGTAGAAACATTCAATGCCATCAACTGTAGTCTTCTTCGCATAAACAAACCATTTGCATGGTGCTACGCATTGAGCCCTGAGCCTGGTAGAATCATTTGTGTACATGTACACTGGTCTACCTGTCAACATCATGTAACTTTTGATTGCATGCTTAAAGTCGTTCTTACATCTAAACGTGTAAGCAATCCGAAACTGTGGCACACCGTCCAAACTTTGGAAATCTGTGAAACAACCTGCCTGGGCATCACCATCATCCTCCGAATTTGGCTTCTTATGGGGTTCTACATTTGCATTCTCTTGCTTGCTGTCGGTCCCACCATCAGGACGCTGCTCTTTAACCACGCGCTTAGGTTGGGTATAAATTCTCCCATCACCACGTTTCGCTGATTCCCCCTTCAATGTTTTTCCACAGTGAAGACCTTCAGTGGATCCAGAGTTATCATGTAGGGTAGCTTTGGTTCGTGCTTCATGGTCCCCTACGTCCGGTTGAGTCACCCAAGATGTATCCCTGTCAAATGACTGAACATTGAAGTATGTATCAGCAGTGCCTGTCGTCATCATGTTAGATACAAACTCATCAAACAATACTTCATCACTACACAGCTTGTACACCCTATCCAAGGTTTCAACATCGTTATCAGGTTCATCCTCATGAAGTGTCCCTTCACGGCCAACTTGTTTGTGCAATTGTTGGTCCTCTGCTACTCCATGTACGCCATCATAACCTGTTGCAATCCTCCCACCATGCTGCCTTATAAATTCGTCATTTGCAACTTCTTCTAATTGGTCTCTATTTAATGATATGCTTCCTGGAAACTGACATCCTTCATCATTTCAATGTCCGTGGTCCTCATCAATGATGTTTGCATGGATTGTAGGGTAAACTTCGTCATTTCTCAGGCTGGACTCAGAAATGTTGGACACTGGATGTGATACGCCACCCTCTTGAGCAGTTGTCTTGTTCACACCAAGAAATTTCTCCCCTTCACCTGCAACACCCGGTTGACATTTCCCAAGAAGCTGCTCTTCACTGTGTCCAACCTCAGGCGGCACTGTTGAATCTTGATGATTAGGCACTGGGATTGAAATGTCAATTCCTTGAGCATTGGAACTGTTCACTGGATCGGCAACCTCGCCTTCAGGAGTGACTTCACTGGTTCCACATGCATTCTTGAATGGCATTTGAAGAAGGTCAAGGAATTCTTGATCAACTTCATTTTTTCTTCCAAGTAGTAGTGTGCCTTTTCTAACTCATTTCTTATTTGGTTTCACAGAGCTAGGTGGGATGTGGTTTTCCTGACCAATCTCCTTTATGGTGATTGTAGAATTTTTAATGACATACACATTACCTTCTTTTCTAACCGCATTGTATTCTTTCTCGGCGAACTCGTCACAAATCTTCCCTTGATCTTCGTTAAACCTTTCCTCAGCTTGCTCTTTCGTGTAATGATTACAATATAATCCAAAATCCTGTAGTCTAGAACTGAATTTTAGAAACTCTCTTAAATGTGAATGTTCCACCAATGGATGTAATCCAACATTGTAATCTTTCTCCAGGTGCCTGTAGTAAGTAAACACAATGCTTTCCCGATCGTAGCCCAATCCAACCATTGAAGCACTCATGTTGTGAAGGTTGAAATTAGCAGCATGGCATTTGTCAAGGTATGATACTTTTCCGCTAATGTATTCCCAAGGAGTAGTATCCTTCAGTTGGCCACCATGATGAATTCTGATTGTGAAATATTTGCTGCCCCTTGCTGTAACAATAAAGTGTAATTGATGAGGATATTGTCAAGCTTGGAAATTATGAAATATAAAGGTCATTCACTTAATGGAGAATTTTTGCCACCCACTAATTTAGGCCTTAGAATATTTCTGTGAAGGGTAAAAGTACATCATATAATCCTCAATTCTACCCAACATACAAAAAAGCCCCTTTCATGCTCCTGCACCGACAAAAATAACATGGGATTTTGGAATGTAGTGACAGTTATTGTGGACTCGAGACCAACAAATTTTTTTTTATGACATGTTTCTGTCACCCTTTCAAAATACACATTAGGTCTGTATCACCGTAGTATAACTGATAATGATATTGTCAAACTTTCCATTTATGCAAAATAAAAAAAAAGGCATTATCATATTGGACAAATTGCCACACACAAATTGCATGACGATACAACACATAAGTTTAAAATTACATATTGTAACCCATAATCCATAAATAAACCCTTTACTTCTCCTGGTCCGACAACAAGAATATCGGATTTTGCTTTTTTTGACTGTTTTGTTTCCACAATCCAAACAAATAATTTTGGTTTTAACCGTTTCTTTCCCATACAAATTATCCATTAGTTGTTGTGATGGTTATTGTTCTGCATATGTAATTGTAGGGTTCCAAAACCCAATCAAATATAGGGTTTACAGTGTGCCCCACAATTCACTAAGAAGGTTTAGGGGGGGCTTACCATAAGCCAAGTCGGGATCACATGACGCTCCTTCTCGGCGAATAACCCAATCATCTAGATCTACATCCACAATTTCCACCGGAATTTGTGGCGGCGGATTCCTTCGCGCTCTTCCTGTTCGCCGTCCCCTTTGTGTACTCCTTTTCTTGTGGGCTGATGGCCCCACCATTAGATAGGGCGGGGATTTTCCTCCAATATAGATGACCAGTCGCAATCAGGATCGAAATTGAAAACGATACTGCAATCGAGAAATGTTCCAGAAGAATGTTTGGTGCTAAAAAAAGTACAATGGCAATAAAACACTAGTGGTGAAATCTGAAAGTGATTATCCCCAATGTTACGGAATGTTTTCGACCAACGAAAGTTTTAAAAAATTACCCCACCCCCTACAAGATATACTGAAATACTAGTGGTAAAATGTGAAAGTGATTATCCAATCACCATTTGCGGAACGATACAATAGTTGAGTGATCATTTTTGAAAGTCATAGTAATAGCAATAGTTGACCCATAGACTTTGACCGATACAATATGTAATAGCAATAGTTGACCTATACACTTTTACCGATTTACTATTTACATTTATTTATTGGTACCCGATTTACTATTTATTAAAAGTCATTTTTGGTTTCCTTTATATAATACAATTCCCAATCGTTTCACCAACACCAAAACCCTAATTTAGATTGGGTTAGCCATCTGCTCCAAATGCCCGTTCCAGAATCTAGTTGTAATCCACCACCCAAAACACTTTGGAAAAGTGGGCAATCCTAAGCAGGCGTGAATCATCGACGTCGGAATCTTTGCTCCATCATGCGCTCCATCAAATCTCTCCGGCTTGCTTATGGCTAATAATTGTGGAATAGTATCATTTGGGAAAATGGTGATAGAGAATGTAAGCTGTGGCAGATGTAGGAGGAAAGTCATCCTAGTTCCGTCCGCATCAAATGATAATCCAGGGCATCTCTATTATAGATGTACAGTCCATGGATTTTTGAAATGGTTTGTAGCCCAATCCCACACTGAATCTGGGTCGACTTCACAGGGGATGCGCGAAAGAAATGGTGTACCTGGTGAATCGGAAGATGGGATTGAGAAATGTAGTTAAGGATAACCGTTTGCGATTGAGCAGATTAATCAAGATTTTGTCCAGGGAAAGTATGAAATGGTTGGGAATAAATCAACGCTTGAATGCTGCGAGTGTGAATCAAAATTGGATGCAATACTGTTGGGTTTAATTGCAGGGTTTATCATGAATGTCATGATTTTGCTCCATGTGCTGGTAGTTCTGTGTAAGGCGTAGATGGCCAAGTTCCAAGTGCATTGAATTTTTTTTTTTTTTTTGCGGAAATAATGAAAAAAGTTGTATTAGGTAGAACCAGTGTTAATCGTGGTTCTTTTTGAACCAGTGGTTCAACTAGATAGAACCATTCGGTAAGTCGTAGATGGACTTGCTGTGCAAGGTAAAAATCCCGTGTTATGTACGATCTAGATCCAGTGTTAAAGCTCTGTTTAGTGTTGTGATGTTTTGGCTAAGTACTGAATAGTAAAAAGACCCAATGCTAATCCAGTGTTATGGCCGAGTTCTCTTATTACCCGAGTTTCTTGCGCAAATCGTTTAAGAAATTTCGTACAAGCCTTTTTATTTTTCATAAAGTACCACTTGTTGGGAGATGCTGCATACATCTATCCAAAATATCGAATAGAACTGAATAGATAAGAAAGAATGTTAATCCATACTTCATTTACAATTTTTTCCAAGCTTGTGTTTGGGTTGAAAAGAACTTAAGTAACATCCAAAATATGACACATTATTGTGATACTATAAAAAACCACAAATACAACTACTACATGTTATTAATAAATGTATTTAAGTAGTATTGTATGTATTTATATATACACGTAACTTTTTATTAGATATTGTTAATTCATATACCACAAAATATCTTAATGAACATGCAACCGTGTTTTTCTATATAATGGACATTGGCTATTGCTAAACGTGAGAGTCTCATTTCTGAAAGTGCTCAAATAATTCAGTGACCAATTTTGATACTTCACAATTTTGTAGTGATGATTTTAAGCATGGTAGTTCAGTGTTACTTATAATTAGATAATATTTCAGTGAGAACCAATATGTCAAGAATCCACAGGTCCGTTGGTAATGGTAACCAAACACATTACAATAACATTAGCACATAACACTTAATAAAGACCATCATATGTTTTCCATTAACATAATTCCCATTCTTTCACCTCCGGTGATCCCTCCACATAGCCTCCGCTATAGCATCCCGAAACTCATTCCACCGATTCATCCCTCGTCTATACTAGTCAAGTGTTTGATATTCCCCAACTAGGGCCCATCAGCATCCTGTTGCGAAAACAATGTCATCGGGCTCGTCACCATACGTAGGGAAGTGATCCCTGAGGAGGTTGTGAATAGCACAACATGCTATGATATAATCCCTTTGTGCGTTAAGGAACCACCGAAACATTGGACCCCATAGCATGTGGAACCGAATTTTTACCACCCCAAAAGCCCTCTCTATAACATTTTTGATGGATGAATGACTATAATTAAACAAGTCTTTGACAGAATCCGCCTCCTGGGTTTATAGGGATGCTCAACAATGTGGTACCCATGGTTTTTGAATGGTGCTAAAAAACCGGGTATGCTTTTGTACCCCGAATCATCCACATAATACTTTCCTATCAGAGGGAAAGGAAAGCCTAACCCCTCGTTTGTTACTGCAGCATAAAAAATTGCAGCATCATGAGCGCTGCCTTCCACACCGGCGTATACAAAAGTAAAGCGTCTGTCATGGTCAACTACCATCATGACATTAGCAGTCAATTTCCCATGCCTATTACGATATCGGGTTGCATACGTTTTGGTACCCATACATCAACGTGCGTCCCATCAATTACGCCAACACAATCCTGGTAAAAGTAAACATGATAAATTGTATATAAAAATGTAACAAAAAAATAGGTCAAAAAAATGAGGTTATGCATTTTCGATACCCAATTATTCCAGTAAAAAAGAAATGATTTGTGTTCTTTGTTAATTTAGGACTAATTATAATTCGTGGAAGAGGACCTTGATCGTGCGTCAATAATATAGTAGTTTAATTTAGTCTATTTGCTCAAGTTTAATGCTAACCAAATTGCTACATATTGTTAAATACGGGGAAGAAAGAAAGTACCTGTAACTGTTTCCGAAAATTAATTTGATGGCGCAAAGGAACTTCTTCATCCCTCTGTACATTCGTATCAAAAAACCGCAGATTGTTTGATGCCCTATACAGTAAAACCTCTATAAATTAATATACTTGAGCCTCTAAAAATTTATTAATTTATAGAGTTATTAATTTATCGATAAATTAATATTTTATTAGTATCAAGAGTTTTTTCCGATCTTATGAGAAAGAAAATGAAAAAAAACTTAATACTTTTATATCGAAAAAAGTCCGTTACAAGCCTAGTCATAACATTGTAATTTTTTAATAGAACAAAAATATGATAATTGCAAAAATAAACATACTTAAGTTAAAATCTAAGTTAGCTTCAACTCTAATTCATTACTTTGGGTATTTATTAATTTATGAAATTGTGGGGACCTATATTTACATTGAAGATTCTTGAAAAATTATTATCTTATAAATTAATCGAGTTTTTTTTATAATTTTTTTGTACTGGTCCCGAGTTGGGACCGAAAAAAATATTATTTAGTAGAATTTATTAATTAATAGTTGATTAATTTAGGGAGGTTTTACTGTATATGTTTAGTCCGCTTTCTTTTTTTTTTTTTTGTACTATGAAGGAGACAAATGCCTTAATAACTGGACGATTACATTCTCGGTTGGTATGAAATATCAACAATATCATAATCTAACCAAGGTTTTAAACTCGTAGGTGATTCCGCTTTCTTTTTCAGTGGCTAATAGTCCTCACAAACATCTTCCCATTAGTTTATTTGGGACAGAATGAGTATTATTTGAATTTTTTTTTTCAACAATTTTCTATTTTATATGTTTGCATTTGACCTATAAGCAATTTACATTTTCCCGTTTCCCTGATAATACCGCAGCTACCCTCCACTTATTTTCCACATCCGTCCTCTTCTTTCTCTTATTTGTGGTTTATGTGCTCTTTAAAAATTCATCTACACTGATGTAAGGGTGTTTTTGGCTCTTTTGTCGATGATGGATAAAAATTTGTGGGAGAAGTTATAGAATCCCAACGAATTATAGTGATAGGTCAAACTAAAAACAACTTTTGACATAGCTTTTTTCTTGGACGTTCCTCCATGTGGCGTTCCTTGAATAGTTTACTTCCTAAGAAGGTTGAAGATGAAAAGGTGCGATTCCGCTCACCTTCTAGAGTTTAAACTAAGAACCACATATATACCCTCATTATCCTCCCCAATTCGGAAAACCAACCAATCCAAAATGTCAAAATTTTCGTTTCGGTTTCTCTCTCTGATTATCACTGTTTCAGTTTCCGGCGGCATTGTGAACGGAAATGAAAATAAGGCTGAGATATATGAGCTTAAAAGAGGTGATTTCTCCTTCAAGGCCACCAACTATGGCGCGCGGATGGTATCCCTGATTCTCCCCGACAAAACTGGTGCGTTACCGCTGAATTTAATTACATTGTACGTTATTTAGGAGTAAAAATGTCAATGGGTGTTAAATTTTCATGGTTTGCTAGCTTTTTCTTTCTTTTTTCTTCAAAGGAAAGCCGGTTGATGTTGCTCTTGGATTCGACTCCGTTAAGGATTATCTGGTGAGTTTGCTTTCTGGTTTTGTAATGCAGTAATTTATACATCCTTATTATTTATTTAAATTTTTTTTGGTTATGTAACTCCATTATGGTTTTCTAGCTAGGACAGACACCAAAATCATTTCTTTCTAATTACTCTTTCTGCTCCAAAGTGATTGTATTGTTTGGAATTTTACTTTTGTGTAAATTGTGTTAAAAATAAAAAAAAATTATATTGGATAATTATTTCGAGATGCAAAAATTAAGTTGAACAAAATTTACCTATGTGAGAATTGATAATGTGTTGGAAATCTTAAGTTCATGAAATCTTCTTTACATGATGAACTGCTAATCTGCATTGTCGATCTTCTAAAAGGTAGTATTTATTGTCGTTTGGCTCAATCCTAAATTGGAAAAGAGGCAAAATTCCAAATGAGATTGCCATATTTTGAGTTATGACGCTGACCTAATAATACGTCCGGATAAAACCAATGACCCAAACTATCATGATAAATGACAGTACAAAATCTTAAAATTTTCTTCTTCTTTTTTTTATCCCACATCATCTAAGAGGTAAAAAGTTACCAAATTGAGTCTGTCTGCATGTGCTCGGAGCTGCCATAATTTACCATAACGATTGTAAAAGTACTCACTGTAGTTCGTTTTTCAATTTCTTGTTTGAAAGATTCACTAATTCAGTGTGTTCTTGCCAATGTGACTGCAGAATGATACAAAAAACTTTGGATCTATAAGTGGTCGGGTTGCCAACCGGATCAAGAATGCTCAATTCACTCTTAATGGCGTTGTTTACCATCTTGATAAGAACAGTAATGGTAACAACTCCATTCACGGTATGTAGTTCCTATCTGTTCACTTACTTTTTTTTTTTCCCCCGCTTCTGCTTGTAACTTCCTCAAACTGAGAATTTCAAAGTCATATTCCCTCCTTCCTAAAGCTCTTATTAGTGATAATATTCAACAAAGTGAACCTTTTTTTTTTTCTGGAGAAAATAATTTTGTATTAGTGCCTTCCCAAGTCTTAATTAGTCGCTCATTCCACCTACTGCTTCTTATCTCTAACTTCTATCTCAATTTACTATGTACATTTTCCTTTTTTTCTAGATATGAAAATGTTTTTCAACTCCATTTATGGACTTAATGTGAACTTTGCATGTCTAATGTGCCTTTGTTCTCTTCTAGGTAGTGCTTTTACGGATTGATTTTTTTTCACCTTTGTCGATTTGATTAAACATTAAATTCTATCTTTACAAATTACAGGTGGAAAATTGGGATACAATAAAGTTAATTGGACTGTACAAGAACATGTGAAAGATGGGCCAAACCCTTTCATAGTATTCACTTACAACAGTTTTGATGGTGAAGGAGGATACCCTGGAAACGTTTCAGTAACAGTGACTTATGCTCTACTTCAACCATACAAATTAAGCTTAACAATGAATGCCAAAGCATTGAACAAAGCTACTCCCATAAGTATCACAACATAGTTACTGGAATCTAGCCGGACATAATAGTGGTAAATGTCCTCTCTGACGAGGTTCAAATCTTCGCATCACGTTACCTTCCAACAGACAATGACCTCATCCCGACAGGGGAAATCGCGCCGGTAAATGGCACCCCGTATGATTTCCTTAAACCCCGACAAATCGGAAGCCAGATAAATGCACTTAATGCTACCAATGGTTATGATACGTATTATGCATTCGATGCTAAGAAGAAGGATAGCGAGATGTCTTTGGTTGCGATTGTGAATAATAATAAGAACACCGGAATTGGAATAAGGTATCTACTAGTGCTCCGGGGATGCAATTTTACACTGGGAATTACGTGAGAAATGTTACGGGAAAAGGTGGCTATGTTTATCAACCTCATTGTGGATATTGTTTTGAGAGTATGGGTTACCCTGACGCAGTGAACCGTCCCAATTTTCCTTCGGTAATTGTTAATCCAGGAGAGGTTTATACTCAAAATATGTTATACGAATTTGAAGTGGTTAAGTGAGTTTGAGGTTTATACTCAATAAATTTATTATTGCTAATATTATTTTTTTGGTGCAAACGTTGGTGAGATCTCAGAGTTTATATTTCGTTTCCTTGAAGATCTCAAGCACTATAATTTAACCTTAAACCGATTCTTGGGCCAAGTGCACATATGCGGCATATTTTACACAACGTTAATTAGCATTGAGTTTGATTGGTCTGGTTTACTACTTATAATGTCCTGATTCATATGTATCTATCAAGAGGAGAAATTAATATCTTATGGGTGCTGAGGAACATCTATGTTCAAATTCAACAGGTACTACAATTTTTTTTATTTCCATCTTATATGTATTGATGCAGTTCTGTACATAAGTTCAGTTTGGTTGAAATGTTACCATATTAATGTTTGATTAACTGAGGGCTAAATTTAGTTTACCTCTATCCGTATGAGGCGCTGAGTGCATCTACCCCCCTGAGGCCAAGCGGCACTTAGAACATGGAACGTGATATCACTACTTTTAAGTTTAAGGTTACGCACTTCTGTTTTTATGTAACCTGAATCAATGACTTAAGAAATAAGACTTGATACATAATATATAAAGTGATAAGTTTATGGTCAACTCCCATGCATGCGTACCTAGTATAGTGATGAACATTATTACTTATTAAATTCGCTACAACAAAAGTGGGCTATTAATATCTTTATAGTGAGACACTTTTTCTAAAATGTGTCTCATTATATGTGTATTAAGACATTTGCTAAAAAGTGTCTTATTAAAAATGAAAAAGTGTATGCATATTATGAAACACTATCATAAGTGTACTATGTGGGGTTGCTTGTGAACTATTACCCTACTTAATGGGTCACTTTAAAGTGTCTTAATAAGTGACAATCTAATAATACACTTTCAAATGTTTTATGACTTATTGTGACTCGATCACAGGAGACACTATTTAGTAGTGTCCCATGTAATGTGAATCACATGTGTCCTATTACATCACTTATGGAGACACAAAAGAGTGTCTAAACTACTCATTTTTGTTGTAGTGATTGTTTTCTTTTTATTTATAGTTAAGATACAATTTTAACCGAAATACATTTCTATCTTGTAGCTTTAAAATAAAAAGTAGAGGAACTATTAGAATTCGGTTTCATTGGGTCCATCTTGCATGTTTTATTTGCTTTTAATACAGTTCCGTTTCATAATGTTTAAAGCTTGAAGCGATAATAAAGAGGTAACAAAAACTAACACGAGAACGAGATTAAACTTTTGGTAACGTCTAAATATCAATTCATTGAATTGGACACTGAAAACACGGCAATTGTACCAATTTCCGCATGAATATTGTTTGCAAGATATTTATTTATCCTCACAAGTACAAAAAAAAGAAGAAAAAGCTCGGCGACATGGTTAGCTTCAAGACTTAACGATCTTGATACCAACGCCAATTAATCCGCGCTAATGTAGCTGGAACTAAATTAATATGACAACTTATATTTAAGTAATAACGGATAATAAGACAAAACGTTGGTTCTTGGAGTCAGTACGACGACTTTTAATTCATTCATTTGAGAAAACGAAAAAGAAAAGAAGAGATGAATAAATTACTACTTCGAAAATATGAAGGCTAAAGATTTACAAGTTGAGTGCTCCAAAGAGAAGTAGACACCAGTGTCGATTTTTCCGGAAGTTGTTCATCATTTTTTCACTAAGTTGAGGATTGAAAAGATACTCCATCCATCCGTCCCATAATTATTGTCCAGTTTGGATTTTTATTTTTAGTTCGAATTGTACTAAAAGTGAAATTTCAAACTGGACAATAATTTTAGGACAGAGAGAGAAATAATTAAACATTTTAATTGAGCATTTCAACACTATAATGAAGCACATGCTGACACTTGTTGTGCTTAATTAAGAAGGAAAAAAGCTTATCATCTTTAACTTAAACCAAATCTTGAGTTCAAGAGGGTGGAGGAATGGAAAAAAATAACGTAATGAGGGTAGCTTGATTATAGTAAGGATTGGTTTAAATGTGATGTATGAAATCTAATGATAATGATATATGATGCATGATGTACAAATCATAATTCTATCTATTAAAATAGAAGTCCTGAATCAGGTTTTTCCGCCGATTCACCCTCCCTCAGTCCACATGTCTTTACGAGGTTATTACAAATCCCGTTAAAATACCTCACATTCCACTTGTCATTTTCTGGGTTTTTTAATTTTGTTTTATTGTTATTTTTCATATATCATGTTTTGATAGTAAGTTTTGTGGGTAAGTTGACCCACCAAGTGCATGCAAGCCAATTCGTTTTGTCCGTGGCATTTCCTATGTTAATCAAATACAGTGTAATAAATTAAAGTAAATACCTTCTTTTGAGGCACTGCACCGCCCACCTCTCTTTTATTCTCCGCCTAAAAGAAGTTAACATGCTTATACTCTATATGTCATTTAATGTATATGCTCATCCAAGTTCCAATAAAGATTCAAATCCTTCAAATCAATTTAGTCAAGTGAACCTAATCTTTATTTTTGCTCCTTTTTCTTTCTCTTCTTCCCTCCGGAAATACCTAAAACCAGAAACAAATTAACCTTTCTAGAAGGCATGCTGGTGGCGGAAGATTCAAGTAAGCCAGAAACGATGTAGTCTCTTTAGTTGCGATACTTGGGCATAATGATGAAAGAATTTGAGAAGCTTTACTTTTCATTATGCACCGCCCAAATGAACTTTATTCTATACTTTTTCAGCATGCGCTCAAAATGGAATCTGTAATCCTCATACAGTTTACAATATTTTCTGGGATCATTATAGGTGATTTTCAATCGGTCAGCCTCTATTTCATTTTTTCCTGCACTCGGTCTCTCTTTCTTCTTACTCCTGTACCTCCGACCTCTCCCCATTCTGACAAACCATGAATAAAATCAGAGAATATATTCCGGAATCGATGTTGACGATGAGTTTTCGATCTATATTGGGGGTTTGATAAATGGTGATGAATCCATTGTATTTATGAAGACCTTGAAGATATAAAGTAGGTTTCTTCTTTTTTCTTTCTCTTTATGCTCACGGCTTCTTCTCTCTCATTCCTCAAAAACCATCCATCGTCGATAAATTAAGGAAGCAAGTCAAGGTATCTGATTCCTATAGCCAGCGCCACTATTTGTCATCGCCATTGCCATTGACGAGATTGAAGTCCGCCTAGTCATATGTAATCTGTTTGGTTTTATGTCTCTTACAAATAATCTTGAGCATTCTTCCTGACTCTTTTGCCATTCACCTTTAATTTTATCCCCAGTTACAATCTTTTGCTTCAATTATTTTTTTAGATGGTGTATATTCAGATCGTTTTATTGAATTAATTGCGTGGTATTTCAAATGAATTAGTGTGAGGTTTTTATTGTGATTTTTGACTTTTTTTTTTGTAGTTCAGTTGGAGGAAGTTATGAGCTTGATTAAATTGTTGAAATAGGTCAATTGTCGTGGTACTTCCAAGAATCTTTAATGTCTCTTCATTCTGTCTCATGGTTAATTCTACGCCTGCACTGTCGAGTTTGTATTAGTGTTTGCATAATTAGGGACTTCATGGGAGCTTTACTTCAATGTTTGAAAATTGTATTGACAACGATCTTGAATATGTTGATTTGAGGTCCTAACAACAAATGGTAAGAAGTCTCATCTTTTGTTATCTCCACTGATAAGTTTATCTTTGATTGAAATGAAGATGAGCCTAAACAAGTATACCTTTTGATTGCTTTGGAAAATATTTGGGAAAAGATTATTGAGTTGTTTTTCTTAAATTCTGAAAGTTTTTTTTGCCTATGTGATAGAATTTTGTTTCTTAAACATTTAAATTCTGTTGTCATGCTATTTTTGTTAGGGAATTCTGTTTATGATGATTTTGTTGTATCATGTGCTCTAATCTAGATTATAAAGTTAAATTCTAGAATTGTTTTTGTTGTGAATGTTATTTTGCAAATGTAAACTCTTTGACTCCTCCATTGTAGGGACGATTATCATCATCGAGATATGGACAACATTTGTCCATAGGAAAATACTCATTAGTTTGAAATACAAGCGTCCATCCAATAAACCATCTTTTTCTGCAAGAATAGGGGGACTATAGGACTGGCGAAATATATTCAGTTACTTACCCCTCCTTTTTAGCATGCATCTTCAATTTCCTTTATTCGCTATCTGGGTTCATAGTTAGAAAAGAAATTTCCTTGGTTCTTCTCTTTACAAATAAATTAAACCGGTTATCCTCTTTTTTTTTTAAAAAAAAAAATCTTTTTTAATGCGCAAACTGAAGACTGCTATGGTTCAAATGCATTTAATTTAAAATTTACTACTTGAAGAATGTATATTGCCTTTTGTATATTGATTTGTTTAGCTTAATCTATAAAATATTATTGATTGAACCATACTCAGTGAAATTTTATTTACTTTCTCATGACCTTTTTGTATGTACGAAAAAGTTTGAAGCTTTTTCATTGTGCATAGTATATTGGGACATAAAGATGTAAATTCAAGTTCCATCTTAGCATGTAATAGAGAATGAAATAATGTAATGTAATCATATACTCAACAAAAAATATTTGTCCACATATTATTATTTTTGAGGTACGCGATTTCGAGATTTGCTCGTCAGTTTTGATACGAGAAACTTTGTCATTCTATTGATCTTTGATTTTTAGATTCTATTAGTGTATCACGATTTTCTTTTTTCTGAATTAGTGTTATGATTTAGTGGCATTGATGTGTTTGATTATATAATTCTAGCTGAAAAAGATGATGAAGGTCAAGATATTATGCAATTAAGTTTATTTGGTTATAGTTTACTGTTTTCTTTTAAAATTTTTCTGCTATTTAGTTTAGTTTCACTTAATTTTTGCATTACTTTTTTATTTATAGGGTGAAGAAAGCTTGGTGGAAGTTTGTTGTCTTTAGTTGATATGGTTATAATCAATCTAAGACTTCAGGTACCTTTTTCTTTTCTTCCAAGGGATGTTATAATGTGTTGCTTGTGGTTGAATTTCCTAATTTGTCAATGAGTCATTTGAAAACCGTGCATATAACTTTTCTAGATATAAATTCTAGACATAATGAAAATTTAAATTTTACTGCAATTCCGTCTGTTACATTAACTCAAAATGATTGCTGAGTTTGAATTTGATGAGAGGGATGCCTTGAGTAGAGTCTTATGCCATAAGGTTACACTTGATTTGCCTTGCATGCCATCCAAAGATGTCCAAGATCCGATATTTTCATTTGGTTTGCTATGTTTTTATTTGATATTCCAGATTTTGGCATTGAATTTAAATCAATGTTATATTATTTCTTAAAGGCCTCTTTTAGTGTGTTGTTCTTAAGTCTGACAATGTTTTTTATGCATTGTGACTGTTTCTTTAGTTGGTGGGTAAAGATGCAAAGAAGGCAGAAAAAAACGATGGTGAAAGGGTTGATGGGGGACTATGGACCTGCAAGTAAACCTTTTTTTGAGAATCCGTCAAGTTGAGAATAGTGAATTGGCTCATGCTCATGGGATTAGCTAGAGAAAGTTCATGGGCCAGTAATGACATAAGTTTAAGATTTACATTTATAAATTTGGGCCTAATTAGCAGAGAATAAATTTCCTTTAATCGTGATTGTAGACATGTAGGAAATTCAAATGTTGGGAAGGAAAAATGTTTTCAACAAAATGTGCATGTAATGTCTCCATTTCCCAGAAGAGTTTATATTTTTTTATGTTTTACTTGAGTATTTATTAGTAGTTTTATCAATCTTGCTGCTCGAACACAAAATAATTAATAGGATAGCCTTTGATTTCACTGGTTGAATATGCGCTGCTACGATTTAAGATGTTATTTATATTATAAAATCTTCTTTTTAAGTGTTTATATCAATGAATGATGAGTAAATAATGATATTCGAGTGTTTATAAATTAAGAATACCGTGTTCATATACAAAACTTTTTTGCGATATTACTATTAAAATTAAATATGAAATTTTATGTTTGGATTGTTAAATACGTTAACGGTAACTTATGTCAATGACGTTGGCCAGCGTAAAAAAAATTACTGGGGTGCCTGTATTTACACGGCTATATCTAGTATAATACCTAAATTAGAATTAAATGGAAAGAAAGTCATAAAATTTATTTTATTGTTATTTTTAATGGCCCATGTTCCTTCATGTGGGTTTCCTCGAATAGAGCTTTTACTTGGAAGTTGACTTGACTTGAAAGAGACAAGTTAAATCACTTGCCGTAGATTTACATTTCCTTTTCAATAAATTCCAGGTGCCAACTTCATCCGAACACCCGAAAACAAAACAAAAATGTCTAAGTTTTCGTTTCTGTTTTTCTGTCTGATCATCACTGTGGTTTCTTTCGGTGGCATTGTGAATGGCCATGGAGGAAGTAAGGTTGGGATCTATGAGCTCAAAAGGGGAGATTTCACCGTGAAGCTGACTAACTTCGGCGCCCGAATCATGTCCGTCGTCCTCCCCGACAGGAATGGTGAGTTCTGAGTTGCGCATTGCATTATTATTCGCACATTAATTCTCTAAACTTAGATGAATGGCGTCCTCAGACGGATTTCATTTAATTTTCGTGGTTTCTTTTTTGGTCAACCTGCAGGGAAGCCGGCTGATGTTGTTCTTGGATATGATTCCATTAAGGAGTATCTAGTGAGTTTACTTTCTAGATTTCAAACTATGTTTCAATGATGTAATGTAGTACCTCTCATTATGGTCAGAAGATTTTCATGATTTAATTTGATCTTTCTAGTCTCTAGTTGTATATTTATTTATGCACGAAATGCATGTATAACCTTATGAGGTGATTAATTAAATTCGCTTATGTTTGAGTGAATGAACAGACGACCTTATTAGGACACAAATATATATTGGAGATTTCCACATCCTTCTTCTTTTTAAGATAACATGATCAATTCTGCCACAGAATGATACAAGTTCTTTCGGAGCAATTGTGGGTCGGGTCGCTAACCGGATCGGGGGTGCTCAGTTCACTCTAAATGGCATCCATTATAAGCTTGATGCCAACGATGGAAACAACACGCTGCATGGTACCTTGCTCATTTTAACTCTTTCTCTTTTACTTTTTGGGGTTGGGTTGGATGCATTGTATAATCCTATCATTCTTGTTTTTTTTCTTTGACAAAACACCAAACCATAATGTTAATAATAAGCTATCCATAACTCTTTATAGACCAATTTATTGAAAGTTTAACTAGTTAGTGGGAGTAGTGGACTATTAAAATCCTTGAATTTTCATTGTACCAAAAAAAAGAAAAATTCCTTGAATCTTTTTGTGAATCACACAAATAATAATATTAGTAAAGATTTTGAAGTTAAACAGTCAAAGGTGGAACTTTTGTGAAAGTTTTAATTTCTATTAGATAACTTCTATGAAAGATAAAGATTAATTGGCAACTTTAGGGCCATCTAGCCTTGCGGACTACTTTGATTAAATAACATCGATTATTTCAAAACCATGTATGACACATGATGTAGTTGGTATCTATTACTGACATTGTATAATAATTTACACTGTAGACCAATGCCTCCTTTATTGTTTTAAGAAAAAAGAAAGTTGAGTATGATTATGTAATGGAAGGTGTATTTCAAGTTGCTCAAATATAAAACAGCAGAATTATTATCGCTCTCTTCCATAAGTCGTCCTTTTTCAGTTTGATTGAATCTAAAATTCAATGTTCACGAATTACAGGTGGAAGACTTGGATTTAACAAAGTTACTTGGAATGTGAAAAAGCACGTGAAATATGGACCAACTCCATTCATTGTGTTAAGCTACGACAGTTTTGATGGTGAAGAAGGATTCCCAGGAAACCTTTCCGTGACAGTGACTTATGCTCTGCTTCATCCATACAAATTAGGCGTAATAATGAAGGCAAAAGCCCTAAACAAGGCCACTCCTGTGAATCTCGCAGCACACAGTTACTGGAATCTCGGCGGACATAACAGTGGCGATATCCTCTCCGATGAAGTTCAATTTTTTGCCTCACGTTACACAGTGGTGGACAGCCACCTCATCCCGACCGGAAAAATTGCGCCGGTGAAAGGGACGCCGTTTGATTTCCTTAAACACCACAAAGTCGGAAGCCGGATAACTGAACTTTCGGCTACATTGGGTTATGATCTCAACTATGCACTTGATGGTTATGAAAAGAAGGATAATAAGGTTATGAAATTGGCAGCAATGGTGTATAGTAACAAGACTGGAATTGGGATGAAGATATCAACCAGTGCTCCAGGGATGCAATTTTACACCGCTAATCACGTTAAGAACGTGAAGGGAAAAGGCGGATACGTTTATCAACCCCATTCTGCGTATTGTTTCGAGACTCAAGGTTTTCCTGACGCCGTCAATCATCCCAATTTTCCTTCCACGATTGTTAATCCGGGACAAGTTTATACTCACTTCTTGCTGCATGAATTCGTAACCAAGATATAATTGATCATTAGCACCCCCACAAAAAAAAAGAGAGAGAATTTGCCATTGTGTTTTAATTCCCCCACTCATGTATTCTGCTCTTTAGATATATATGAGAATTTCATTTTCCTCTTCTTTTTTTTTAACAACCTTAATTTTCATGAACTTTGCCATCTTGATCGGAACCTCTCCGGTGATTAATAATTTGTAAAATTGCCAATAACCTTAACGATGCTTGGTTACGCGCCGGCGGTCTAACGGTGGAACTCCGGGTTTCCTACAAAACAGGGCCTCGGGGTCTCCCGAAGGTAGACACTCTGATACTTAAGTCAATAAAGGGCTGCTGGAAGGTTTAGGTATGTAGTATGTTAAGCTGTAGATTGCGTATCTGTATTGTGGTGTGAGCAACCCTATTTATAGGTATGAGAATACCTGGACAATTCCTGAATCCTATTAGGTTTCGGGAACCTAAACCGCCTCAAGAGTCCCGGTTGGACTCTCTCTCCGGTTGATGGGCCGGTCCAGTTTTGGTGATGGATATGGACTCACCAAGTGCCCATGCCAAGTGTTAGTTGCATAAAGATAAACAACGCTTGGCACAAAATAAGTGTTACCTGGGACATACCCGAGAGTGGACGGGCTACTCTCGTTCAGCTAATTACCGAGCAATATGTCGAGCAGCCTCGATGCAAACGCACAACTCTCGATCATGGAAACCCGAGGGTAACTAACGGGTTAGATCTTGACCCGGGAAGGCGATCCGCTTCCTAATCCCGTCCAAAATTTCATTCGCGCGTTATTAGTGGGCACATTCCCCAAACGGCGGCCTCACCATCATTACTTCCTTGAAATTCGCATTAACTGTCATATCGTTGGCTGTAATTAGAGAAACGTGGGAGAATAAATTTTGTTTTTAAGGAGAAGGCTCCACCATTCCCCTGTCACTTATCACTTTTCCTTCTTCGCAAAAACTCAAAATTCTCCTCTCCGTCAGAGCGTTCCAACCGCCTCCGCTGGAATATTCAAGCCTCCACCTATATACTGCCCCAGCGACGTTATTTCCAGGGGATTTGTCATCAAGATTCAGGAAGAACGCTGGGAAGCTATAACTCGAAAGGCTAGTGGTCACATCCTCCTCTAACAGTAAGTTTTCAGATCTAAATCCCCGGTTTCATTCCAAGTTTTTGTCTTTTCCAACTGTAGTCAGAGTAGATTCGCACCGGAACAATGGTTAGGGATTCCGAAGGAAAAACTATTGATGACTTTGCATCCACCATAGATTCTGTCGATAAGGTAGAGAACCTTAGATCAAAATATGACCTTCTTTTAGACCTACAAGAGTCCTGTTAGGAAACGAGAGGGCTAACTCTCCTCCAGGGGGAAGAATTATTGCGTATGACCGATTCATGCACCTAGAGCTTAGATTCCCCCTCTTCCCCCTGTTTGAGGAGATTGTACAACACTATAGGACTCTCCTTGCTCGTTTTACCCCAAATTTAATAACCTTTGTGCTGGGGTTTGTAAGAGTATGCCAACATGTAAAAGTAAGACCTCGGTTAATACTGTGGAGGTATTTCTTCCAAGTAGTCGTGGCCTCGACCTCTTTCCAAGACTGGTATATTGTGAAAAGGTGCCTTACATCCGGCGTGAAAAAGATGGTCGAGGCGTATGGCGGCTCTCCGGAATGGAAGCCGGATTTCTTGTTTGTACGGGCATCCGAGAGCTATTGCCTGTCATGGAATCTCCGAGAGACGGAGGGTCTCAGGGCCATAAAGGATGAGTGGACCCAAGAGGACGAAGAGTACATCGAGGAATTCAAGGCAAATGTGGAGAAGATTCTGAAATATTTCAAGGTCGTTAAATGGAACGACGTACAATATTATGTGCCTCCTGTATACGCTGTGGAAGATGATACTGCTAATGTCGAGGCCTCAACCAAAATTCTTCTCGAAACCTCTGTTGAAGAAAATCAAGGTACTAATCATTTGCTTTTTCCCTCTGTTTTTAGGTCATGTCGTCAAGCAACGCTGGTTCTCGATTGTTTAGTGACGAAGATCCTTTTACTATTGTGAATTCAGCTGAGGACGTAACTATCACTGCAGCGCCTCAGAAGAAGAAGAAGAAGAAGAGGATCCTGAAGGTTGGTGATAGGGCGAAATCCAAGAAAGCTAAAACGGATGCGCCCTTGAAAGAAGCCACACCACTGGGTAACGAGATGGTGCCCCCTGCTACTGAGGCTGTTCAGAATCCTCTGCTAGAAGTAGGGCCAAGTGTTGTTCCCCCTGTGGCAGAAAAAGGCAAAGGCCCCCTCAAGAGAGAGGCAATAATCTTGCCCCCTCAACTGTTTGAGGGAGGCCCATCTGTTGCAGTACACACTTTCAGCAACCAACCGACGATCGAGTGTCCCCTCCTTGAAGAATTCGCTGCTCAGCTGAACGAGGCTGTTAGCTTGAGACTAGTAAGGGAGTTTTATCTGTTATGAGTGTTCATCACTACTCGATTCCCCCATAGTATGTTACTAGTATGTTACTAAGTGCGGCTTCGATGGCTTGCTTGGTGCAGTTAAGGAAACTGCAAGAAGATCTGGTCACGGCCCGATCTGAAAGAGATGAAGCGCTGTTTGAGGTGGTGTCCCTCGAGGAAAAGGCCCATCTGGTCCAAGCGAAGGAAGCTGAGATCGCCTTGGTTCAAGCCAAGTATGATGAGCTGGACGAGAAGATGAAGTCTTTCGCCAGTTTGCATATCTTGAAGGAGGAACTACACCAATGGTGTGCTGCGTTCATGTACAAGATGTTGTCTACAGGAGGGATGGTCACAGTCCTCGAGGAGATGAATTTGGTTGCCACCAAGTGCGGGGCACACTGGGTAGGCGTGGCAGGCTTGAGGAGGCTTGATCAGGACAGGCCAATTAAGGCCAAATGGTTTAAGCAGCTCCTGATAAAGGACCCCGAGAAGACTATGCACGAGGCGATGGTGAAAGTCCTTACGAGGCTGAACCTTGAGCAACTGCCCCTATGGGAGGCTCTGACTGGCGCCTTGCCAAAAATGAGTTCTCCAGTAGACATTGCCTCATTCCCGGGCGACGTACCTGCTATCTTTGCCAAGGGTCCAAGTGAAGAAGATCCCATACCCGATGTACCAGACGAGTACATGGGTATCGAGCTCGAGGATGTCGACGAGGCCACTGAGGAGGATGTTGCTGAACTGGCCATTCTGGAGTTCAAAGGAATGTCGAGGATGCTTCTCAGGACCCTTCCAAGGACCCCCCCTCCAGGCAGTGATGCTGTATGAATCCTGCCCTTTGTAATAGTTGTTAGGTCTTTGAACTACCGTTTCTTTTTTTTTTTTTTTTGTAATGAACTGATAACTTCATTTCTTCTTTTTGCGTACTTATACAAGCATCCCCCTCTTTTTTTTTTTTTTGGTTCGATGTAAACAACTTACACTCCTCTTATGAAGCAGGATAGTTGGACCGTCCATCGTGTTCACCTCATGGTGCTATCAGAGGAGCAATCGAGCGAGTTCCCGCTATATTCCATGATTAGCGAAATTTGAAGAAGTCGTGCCGATGTGCACAGTATCGAGACAGTGGCAAACCTAGAGAATGACCTTCTCGATGCAATGATAACGCATAACGTAAAGGTTAATCAACATCTGATAAATGAGGTTAAAGGGCTTCGTGAGGAGATGCAACGCCGGGAAGCTCAAAGTCTGAAAGATTATGGTGATTCTTTGACTTTCGAGGCCGAAATCCATGATGAACTGGTTATCCTGGAGAAGGAAAATGCTTGGCTGAGGGCAAGACAGCAGATTACTATGTCTCCCTGGTTCCTCGAGAAGCATCAAGTGCTAGCCCGAGTCCAACACATGATTATGATCAGAACTCGCCGCTTTATTGCGGCCATGGATATACTGAAAGAGAAGGCTCGCGAGATCGAGCTTCTTACAGATTATATTGCCAAATTGCAAAATCTACTGCCGGACAACAACATTGACTTCGAGGCTTTTGAGCGTCTGGAGGAAACAGTAGATCCTCGAACTCGGAGTTCTCGAGAAGAGCTGTTGATGAGGGTGCATGCTCAGGACCTAGAGATCGCGGACCTTAAGGACAAGCTGAATCAATGTGTGAACCTCCTTAGCCTGCATGGGTATAAGGGGGTTATTCATCCTTCCCCTGACAATCCTGTCAGGGAGGTCCTTGTAATAGCGTAGGAAAATATGTATATTTTCTGCAAGCTCGCACAGTAGTGTGGAGTGAATTATTTTTTATTTTACTCGAATATTAATTTATATAGCACTTTTTTGGTCGGATGTGAAGTACACGGCTCTATCGAGGGGATTGGGTACGAATTCCTCGATATCATATTGCGTTTTGCAGTGTGTGTGAGGAGAATTCCTCGAGTTTGTGTCCGGATGTTGAGTACACGGCTCTTTAACGAGGATGGCTCTGAAGAGGGAGTCCATCTCGATGACTAGTCATGAATATAATGTTGTTAATGAAAGGAATATGTAATGTCTTTTATTGAATAATTACCCGAGGACCTGGGTTAGCATTACATATGAGAGGATAAAACTAACGGGGTAAATAAAGCAAATGAAACACACAATAGGCAAATAGCGGGCAAAGACTTAAACATAGAACCTGGAAAATTATGGATATTTTACCACCGAGAGAGAATAGTCCCACTATGATCCATGGTCTATAAGCGGTAGCTGCCTGCTGGGGAGGCCTGGATAACCTTGTAGGGCTCTTCCTAATTTGCTGTGAGTTTTCCAGGAGTTTCTGCTCGGCTGGCCTCATTTTTCCTTAGCACGAGATCGCCTACAGCGAGATCCGTGGCTTTCACCTTCTTGTTGTAATGTCTGCACAGAATCTCTTTATACTTTGCTTCTCGGATTCTGGCGGCGTCCCGCCGTTCCTCGAGCAGGTCAAGATTTAGCCGGATGTCATCATCATTGGTACTCTCGACGAAGTTTATTGTTCGAGGAAGGCCTATTTCAACCGGGAGGACGGCATCCTTGCCATAGACT